AACAGTGTTCCTGGCATATACAATAGTGGCATGTGGTGTGTTTTCATTCAGGGCACATTTGATGACAATCAGCACCTCCAAGTCCGAGGCCATGGTGCTTCACCGGAAAAGGTGGTTTGCCATCTCCAGGTTGGAGGAAAGTTCTTACCCCAGGTGGAGGACTTGAAATATCTTAGGGTTTTGGTGCAGCGGCAGCAATAATGCGGTCAATGTAACGGTCTGTTGTGGTAAAGAAGGAACTGAGCTGAAAGGCAAAGCTCTCGATTTACTGGTCAATCTACGCATCTACTCTCACCTATGGTCATGAGCTTTGGCTCATGACCGAAAGGTCAAGATCTCAGATACAAGCAGCCGAAATGAGTTTCCTTTGCAGGGTGGCAGGTAGATAAGGTGAGGTGCTCTGACACCTTGGAGGAGTTTGGAGTAGAGCCGCTGCTCCTCCACATGGAGAGAAGTCAGCTGAGGTGGCTCAGGTGGCTCTGTTTCAGATGCCTCTTGTACACCTACCTAGGGAGGTGTTCCAGGCATGTCCCACCAAGAGGAGGCCTCGAGGAAGACCCAGCGCACGCTTTAAGGACTATGTCTCTCGGCTGGCCTGGGAACGCCTTGGGGTCCCCCCAAGGAGCTAAAGAAGGAAGTCTGGAGTTTTCTCCTAAGACTGCTGCCCCTGTGACCCAGCCACGGAGAAGCGGTAAAAAATGAATAAATGTGTGGAAAAAACTGTTCATTCACTCGCTCATCCAGTCATTTCATTTTATGTAATGTAAACAAAATTGAGAATGACGCCAGGAAAAACCAAGTGGCAAACTTCTAAAATACACATGAACGTTTACTTTTCTGCAATATTTGCCAACAATTCAGATTACAGTATGTGAATTGTTACAAGAGCAGCACACAAATCAAACTAATCAATCTGTTACTTTTTTATCAACTCCACTGAATTTATCTTCTTTGGCTGTGCTATCTAATGTTGTGGTGTGGTAAACTAAAACGACATAAAAATAACTTTGAATAAATATTTGATTAAATATACAACATCCCTGAAAAGAACGTGAACACTGAAATGGCCTCATATCCAGTGGTCACATTCAGGGTTTGCTAAAAGATAAGCAACAAACCCTGAAACCTTGAAAGAACATGTTGTGGATTTACGTTGCGCAATTTGACCTAAAACAGTCATTACTGTTGCAAAATGAACAAAGCCCAAAATAGACATGCAATAAAAAAAGCCGTTGACCTATTAAGAACATATTTAGAATTCAGAAACAATGAGTCATTAATAAACTTCTACAGCTACTGCATCTCCAGCGCAATATTTGTATCAATGCCTGATTTGTATAGTATTGACAACTGTGACACGTTAAGTACATTAAAATTGTGTACATTATTTCTAAGGAAAGTGCAGATTAATGCCTCAAACAGTCAGGATATCATCACTGTAGATGTAAATGTGGCTGCAAAGCTACTTAGACACCCACAGTGTGGAGAGACCTTCCCTCATGATTGTGAAGCGCTTTGGGTGTACGGCCATACACAATAAATGCGCTATATAGAAATACACATTACATTACATTACATTACAAGTCTGCCATTAGAAAAAATAACTTATACTAAAAGCTAAACAACGTGTATTTGAAAACATATGGAGTCCTTTCATTAGTTATATCAAAGAAGTGGAATTAACAGAGGAAGAAGTTGATGGATAATTTTTGATGGACAATGCAGTTCTAGCTTTATAGTTCCTGAGTACCTAGTACTCAGTATGATTATAATTGTCATGTTAAAAATAGACATGCAATAAAAAAGCCGTTGACCTATTAAGAACATATTTAGAATTCAGAAACAATGAGTCATTAATAAACTTCTACAGCTACTGCATCTCCAGCGCAAAATTTGTATCAATGCCTGATTTGTATTGTATTGACAACTGTGACACGTTAAGTACATTTAAATTGTGTACATTATTTCTAAGGAAACTGCAGATTAATGCCTCAAACAGTCAGGATATCATCACTGTAGATGTAAATGTGGCTGCAAAGCTACTTAGACACCCACAGTCCTACTGATGTAATTTCTGTGAAGACGATACCAATCTAAAGCAATGATGACGACTTGGGACTTTCTCTGTAAATCACAGGAAACAAGCAACACCATTTCAACCAATAATTTCATTAATCATTAATTATTGATTAATAATTAAATAATAATGTTACTGATGACTCTGTGTATGTTAAGATATATATATATATATATATATATATATATATATATATATATATATATATATATATATATATATATATATATATATATATATATATATATATATATATATATATAGTAGAGATTAGGATTTAGGATTAAAGACAAAATTATAAAAATTTCTGTGACATTTAAATTCTTTTAAAAATGTTGAATTCTTGTTGAAATCTTGAATTTTCGGATAAAGAATGGGAAGCAGCTTGCACTAAAGCTCACACTATGTCTATAAATTCACGTCTTAAATTTATACAATATAAATGGATCATGCGGACATATGTAACAGCAGTACAATTAACTAAATATAATAAAAACATACCAGATATATGTACGGAAGCTAGAGGAACCTTGTTTCACTGTATTTGGCAGTGCACAAAAATTTAATTATTTTGGGAAGAGGTAAGAATCATAAATGAAAAAATTATTTCAAAACAAATCCTCCTCGACCCAAAGCGTTTTTTGCTAGGTTTATAACTAGAGGACCCAGCGAATAAGTATTTATAGACCTCAGCTTGCTTTATGCCAAAAGATGTGTAGCTTTGCTATGGACAAAGACGCAAAGACCAATTGCTACTCAATGGATAAGACAAATGTCATCTTTCGGATGAGACATTAAACCGAGGTCTTGACTCTCTGTGGTCATTAAAAATCCCATGGCACTTCTAGTGAAAGAGCAAGGATGTAACCCCGGTGTCCTGGCCAAAGTCTCTCTATCCGCCCTTACGATCCTGGCCTCCCAATCATCCCCTTCCCCTAAATTGGCTCTATCACCGTCTCTCCACTCCACCAATAGCTGGTGTGTGGTGAGCGCACTGGCGCCGTTGTCCTGTGGCTGCCGTCGCATCATCCAAGTGGATGCTGCACACTGGTGATGGTGTGGAGAGACCCCCCTCATGATTGTGAAGCGCTTTGGGTGTACGGCCATAAACAATAAATGTGCTATATAAATACACATTACATTACATTACATTACAAGTCTGCCATTAGAAAAAATAACATACTAAAAGCTAAACAACGTGTATTTGAAAACATATGGAGTCCTTTCTTTAGTTATATCAAAGAAGTGGAATTAACAGAGGAAGAAGTTGATGGATAATTTTTGGTGGACAATGCAGTTCCAGCTTTATAGTTCCTGAGTACCTAGTACTCAGTATGATTATAATTGTCAAGTTTGAATAGATTACCATTAATGACAAAAAGAGGAGCAGTTTTACTTTTATTTTATTTATTTATTTTTTGTTTCTTCACTTTTAGTTTTTATTATATATATATATATATATATATATATATATATATATATATATATATATATATATATATATATATATATATATATATATATATATATATATATATATATATATACAGTTGAAGTCAAAATTATTAGCCCCCTTTTGATTTTGATTTTCTTCTTTAAATATTTCCCAAATGATTTTTAACAGAGCAATGAAATTTTCACATTATGTCTGATAAAGATAAAATAAATCAGTAATTAGAAATGAGTTATTAAAACTATTATGTTTAGAAATGAAATCGGGAAAAAAATAAACAAAGTGTAATAATTCAGGGGGGCGAATAATTCTGACTTCAACTGTGTGTGTGTGTGTGTGTGTGCATAAATATATAGTTGAAGTCAGAATTATTTGCCCCCTTTTGATTTTTTTTCTTTTTTTTATATTTCCCAAATTATGCTTAACAGAGCAAGGAAAATTTCACAGTATGTCTGATAATATTTTTTTTTCTGGAGAAAGTCTTATTTGTTTTATTTCGGCAAGAATAAAATCAGTTATTAATTTAAAAAAAAAAATTTTTGGGACAAAATTATTAGCCCCTTTAAGCTAATTTTTTTCGATAATCTACAGAACAAACCATCGTTATACAATAACTTACCTAATTACCCTAACCTGCCTAGTTCACCTTATTAACCTAGTTAAGCATTTAAATGTCACTTTAAGCTGTATAGAAGTGTCTTGAAAAATATCTAGTAAAATACTGTCATCATGGAAAAGATAAAATAAATCAGTTATTAGCAATAAGTTTTTAAAACTATCATGCTTAGAAATGTACTGAAACAATCTTCCCAGAACAGAACAGAAATTGTAGAAAAAAATAAACGGGCGCTAATAATTCAGGGGGGCTAATAATTCTGACTTCAACTGTATATATATATATATATATATATATATATATATATATATATATATACACATACATACATACATATGCTTATTGTCGAACCCTGCTTTTAAGAAAACTAGAATTTAAAAAATTATTTCCAACCAGCCAAAGTGGCTAGTGGAGGTGTCTGTCTAACCAGCCAGAGCTGAAGTCTACCCGCATTTGGTGGGTGTTAATGTAAAGCCTTGCCTAAGATGCATTAATTACGTCAGGTTTCCACTTTTTTCTTGTGCTTGAATGTTAAAACTGGCCTTCTTTGAATTGTCAATCACCGAAATGGTTAAATTATTGTATATACTGTCAACACATACAGAATAGCAAGATAACTGTTGCAATGGTATGGTAAATATTTCAGGGGAGTTCCTGTGAAGTCCACTTGTTAGTGATGATTCATTTACTGAGTCAGACTTCCTCAAGTCTAGTTAATCTCTTAAATGCCCTGTTGCTGACTGACGCTTCTCTGATACGGTCTGTTGAACCACATCAAAACCAACCTACACATCCTGACAAACCGCTACCTGACTCTACCCATTAGAAACCCCCTGATAATAAAATCAGCTTACTGGTCTAGGGCTTTATAGTAGATGTCCAGGTCTTTATTGGCCAGCTCTGTTGTTCTCATCACAATCATTTTGTCTCTGTAGAGATCCTCGGCCCGGCAATATTGATCCTCATTGAGTTCTTTACGAAAGCGGAGGATCTCATCCTCGTAGCCTTTCTGTCGACCAAGCGCCACACTGCGGTTCTTTTTTAGGTCCTCCAACTTTCGCTCTACTTCTCGTCGCTCACTTGACAACAATAAATACATTTTAAAAGATGAATTTAGGTTCACATTAAAATGATTAGAAAAAAAATTAAGTGGGATGGAAGTTATATAAAGTATTCAAACTGTGTTAAATTATTGCATGCTAACAAATGATTTCATACTTGCGCAGCTGCAGGACTTGCATGTTGCCCATTTCCTTAATTAAGGCCTCTCGTTTTCTGGACACCTCTTTCAGCTCCTCCACGCGCTTTCGTAGAGTCAAGTTGTCCTGCAGCCAGCGCTCTTGAACCTTAAGTTAGACAATACATGCAGTTGAAGTCAGAATTATTAGTCCCCCTGTATTATTAGCGCCCCTTTTTATTTTTCCCCCCAAATTCTGTTTAATGGAGGGAAGATTGCTTCAGCACATTTCTAGGCATAATAGTTTTAAAAACCTATTTCTAATAACTGATTTATTTTATCTTTGCCATGATGACAGGAAATAATATTTTACTTGATATTTTTCAAGACACTTCTATACAGCTTAAAGTGACATTTAAAGGCTTAACTAGGTTAATAAGGTGAACTAGGCAGGTTAGAGTAATTAGGCAAGTTATTCTATAAAGATGGTTTGTTCTGTAGATTATCGAAAAAAAATTAGCTTAAAGGGGCTAATAATTGTGTCCCTAAAATGGTGTCTAAAAAATTATAAACAGCTTTTACTCTAGCCGAAATAAAACAAATAAGACTTTCTCCAGAAGAAAAAATATTATCAGACATTCTGTGAAATTTTACTTGCTCTGTTAAACATAATTTGGGAAATATTAAAAAAAGGAAAAAAATTAAAAGGGGGCTAATATTTCTGACTTCAACTATATAAATGCATACACACACACACACACACACACAGTTGAAGTCAGAATTATTCGCCCCCCTGATTTATTAGACCCCGTTTATTTTTTCCCCGATTTCATTTCTAAACATAATAGTTTTAATAACTCATTTCTAATAACTGATTTATTTTATCTTTACCATAATTTATTCATTCACTCATTTTCTTTTCGGCTTAGTCCCTTTATTCATCCGGGGTGCCCAGAGTGGAATGAACCACCAACTTATCCAGCACATTTTAAGCAGGGGACACCCTTCCAGCTGCAATCCATCTCTGGGAAACATCCATACACACTCATACACTACGGCCAATTTAGCCTACCCAATTCACCTGTACCACATGTCTTTGGACTGTGGGGCAAACCGGAACACCAGGAGGAAACCCACGCGTACACGGGGAGAACATGCAAACTCCACACAGAAACGCCAACGGACCCAGCCGAGGCTTGAACCAGCGACCTTTTTGCTGTGAGGCGAAATCACTACCTACTGCGCCACCACGTCGCCCTCTTTGCCATAATGACAGTAAATAATATTTGACTAGATTTTTTCAAGACATTTCTAATCATAATATTTTTAATAATCCATGTCTAATAACTGATTTATTTTATCTTTGCCATGATGACAGTAAATAATATTTTACTAGATATTTATCAAGACACTTCTATACAGCTGAAAGTGACATTTCAAGGGTAAACCAGGTTAATAAGGTCAACTAGCCAGGTTAGAGTATTAGGCAAATTATTGTATAACGATGGTTTGTTCTGTACCCTATAGATCGTTTAATAATTCAACTGTACTGTCATCATGACTAAAGAAATTAGTTATTAAAACTAATGTGTTGAAAAAATCTTGTCTGTTAAACGACACTATTTGAAAATGAATATTTTAAAATCAAGCAAAATGATTAGCCCTCCTGTAAAATTGTAAATTAACTGTATCAATTTTAGAATGAGTCATATAATACCGCAGGTCTACTACATTGGCACAATTGCAATTGAGGTAAAAATGCAAGGATAATAGCAAAGGTGCTCGGCACCTTCTGAGTGTCAATGTCTTGTCGGATGTTGCCCATGTCTTTATTGGTCTTCTCCCGCTGTTTTTCGGCCTCATGTAGTTGTTTGTCCATCTCCTGTAGTTCAGTTTCTTTTTGCTAAATTAGAAAGAGCAAAAATAAATAGAAAAAAAATATGAACACTGGAAATCAAATTTAAAAGAAAACACGCAAATATGTCGTACCTCTTTGTAGCTGTCTTTGCCCTCTTCAATGTACTTGGTGATCTCTTTTTCAAAGAGGGTGATGTTTTTCATTTTTTCCTTAATCGCATTTATCTAAACGAAAGTATAAAGCTTTTATATATGACGCACATTTTGATAAGCAAATTGAACGTAATACCTCTAAAGTAGTACATTGTGTTGAATCATTTCACAGTAAATAGAAAATATCAGATGAAAACTTAAAACACAAATGCCGAAACAAACACCTTTTCCTGTCCTTCCTCCTGTTTTTTCCTCCTGCGCTCAACGAGGTCCTGTTTCTCCTGCTGGAGCTTCTCCAAAGTAGCAGCTAGAGGAGAGGCCTGCTCCTTTGCATCCTAATAAACACAATTTGAGATAACAATAAGAACATGCTTACACTACCTTTTAAAAGTCTGAGGTCTGCAAAATAGTTTTTTTCTTTCTTCACACACTAATCTAACCCCCTATACTAAACCCCTAATCTAACCCCTCTATACTAAACCCCCTTAGTGCCTACTCACACTGTGCCATCCGTCCCGTGCCCAGGCCTGTTTCCCGGATCGTTTGAGAAGTGTGAGTGCGCTGAATCGGGCTCAAGCACGGTTCACTCGGCCGGCCCTGGCCCGGTTGGAAGAGGTGTGCCTGAGCGCGGTTCACTTTGGCTTTGGCGCGGTACGCTTGTGTGTGAGTGCAAAACGTGCCAAAGCCCGAAACTGAAAGCGAGACGTGACTTTTCAGGGGCTGTTTCATATGGATTTATTAATCATTCTTACTGTTCAGTGAACGCAAACTGCCGTAGTTTATTAAAGACGAGAACTCCTCACAGCACAACAGCTGTGAGGGTTCAGCAGACCTCCTCATTCCTGAAGCACGAGGGCTTTATGATTGTTTATGAGCGCCAAAAGTGGTGGATCTGTACGGCGAAATATCTGACTGCGTGTCACCGCATCCCTAAGGACTGTTTGGCGAAATATTTGACTGCATGTCACTGCATATCAAACGTCTGACACAATATAACTAGAGAAATCTCCACTGTGCTGCTGAGTGAGAGAGCGCTTCTCACTGAACAGCGCAGCAGCGATGACGTAAGCGTGCTCATTTGTGGTATGAGTGCGGGCCGTCGGGGGAGACGGGAGGGGGTGACAAGCATGCTTTGGCCCGGTTCAAGGCAACTGTACCTAGTGTGAGTACTGCCTTAGACTTTTATCTTTGGGGTCATCTGAAGGCAATTTTCTATGGTGTGACGATACATGATGTGCAGCACCTGAAACTACCCATACTGGAAGCCTGTGCTGGCATTTCTCCTGCGGTGTTGCTATCAGTGTGTGAAGAGTGGGAGAAGAGGGTTGCATTGACAATCCAACACAATGGGCAGCACATTAAACACATTTTATAAGTGGTCAGAAACTTGCAAATAATTCATTAAAGAATAAAGTTGTGTTAAAATCAAGTACACCATTGCTTTTCTAGTGAAATTCCCAATAAGTTTGATAAATGGCCTACCCTGTAGAATAAACTTGCTGTATGGTTTGATGAACTTAGTGACAAACATTAGGCATGACACCAAACAATCTGATAAAAAATTTAGAATCCAAAAGAGGAAGGATGTGGTTGCATAAAACTGATCAACCTGCCCGGAGGTACTGGATAGTGCACATATGAGTGCAAAAAGCCTTCTGCAGATTTAATGCTATGAGATATGACAGACATTAAACTGTTTTGAGCCCTCAGGGGCTAATCCTTATGGCCTTAGTGTTAAGCCAACTGCTCATCAAAAATCCCTGACTGGCTCAGCAGTCAAACACAAGCATGTTCTAATGGATGTCTGAATCAAAGCCATGACTATAGAGTTGTGTCCAGCAGATTAGCCAGTGGCGGATCTAGGAATGTTTTAGGGATGCACTGATATAGATTTTTTTGGCCGATATCGATAACCGATAACTCTTTAGATTTTAGACTATTACTTGTGTGTATTTAAATGCCTAAAACATAAATGGTTCCACTTTATATTAAGGGGCCTTATTTAATAGTTTGTTACAATGTACTTATTGTGTAAATACATGTATTTACTATGTACTCATGCTTGATTAAATACATACCTTAACCCACCCTTAAACCTACCCATACCACCAAACCTGTCCATAACCCAACCTCTATCCCAACTTAAAGGCACCACAAGTGTTCTCAAATACATTAAAAACACAGTAAGTACATTGTATTTATTTTTTTGATGTAAATACATAGTAGGTAAGGACACTTAATGGAACCACATAAATTAAGCATTAGGCGGTTAAATTGTGATAATATGATACGTCTTTTTTAGCAGGGTTAAGTTGGTTTTGTTTTCAAAAAGAAAAGAAAAAAAGAAGCACTTTTCCGACGGTCCCTTAATGAGAGCTCTGCTCAGCGCGCTTACGCTAACTTGTCATGCTTATCAAGCTGGATAACGAGTAAAACATCAGCACCAGGGACTTTACAGTCCTCACTTCAAAATGGAACAAAAGTAGGACCCTGCTGTCGAACTCCTTTCCTTCTCATCCCTGTCTATGAGGCGCCGAACTCATCATCGTATCTGTGCGCGAGAGACCGTGTTCACTCCGCTCCACACTGAACTAAAGTGTTTTTTAATATTCAAACGTCCCAATGTCACGCGACACAACGAATCAATTATGAAACTCGTTGCCAACGCTTTTAGTAATTGATTTTTATCGATTTGTTGTTGAAGCACACACTCGCATTAAGGGTGATTTATACTTCTGCATCAAACGCCGGTGTATGCTACGGCGCTGACGCATAGCCCTTCGCCGTGGCCGTCGCTGACGTGCACCTCTCAAAAATTGTAACTACACGTCGCAACGACGCATAGTGCAAGCTCTGTGATTGGTCGGCTTGGTATCGCTGATGAGTCTGGGCAGGACTGAGAGCCACGCGAATGGCGCGAGCTGGACGCAAGCACAATGGAGCGATTGTTTATAAGTGTGGAGTCCCGTGAAGGAGCTCCGGATGGAAAGTTTTGTTCTGGGTGTTTACTTCATGGTTAAAGTTGTTGCACGTCCGCCTGTTCCTGCCTCAAAATGTGCGAGTTTGAGCCACTTGTACATCCATGAAGTGTTCAGAAAAGCAAAACAGAAGCAAAGAAACTCGACACAGAGGAACATTTACACCTCACTGCCAACTAGCGTTTCGGAAGTGTTAATGCAGACCAACAGAGACAGCGCGCAGAAGTATAAATGCACAGCTGCACGTGTTGCCTGCGCCGTGAGTTACGCCGGTCACTTGATGCAGAAGTATAAACCAGGCTTTATGACTTAGACACGTTAAAAGGAAGTTGGCGATTCTCACTCGAATGTCCCTGTGGAGTGTCTGGATCTCGGTGGAGAACTCCACACACTGCTCCTCCAACTGCTGACGCTTCTGCATGTTGCTGGAGATCTGCAGCTTTTCTCCACGAATCTCGTTCACACTGCTCCTCAAGGCCTGGATCTGCTCCTGCTGGTCCTGAATTAGTTTCCTCTTTAGCTCGATCTTACTGGAAGCTACATATGTTGAGCATCACAAAGACAAACAAAAATGAACAGGGTCATATTTGCATAACATTTTCATAATAGTTGTTATATACTGAATTCATTAATTTTTTTTTTCTGCTTAGTCCCTTTGTTAATATGGGGTCGCCACAGCCATATAACCACCAACTTATCCAGCATGTTTTAACGCAGCGGATGCCCTTCCAGCTGCAACCCATCTCTGGGAAATATATTGAATTACTTTTATATATTGAATTAACTTTTATTGTTATTTAAACTATCATTGGGTTGCCTGATATAAGTGTTTTTATTAAAGGTGCTGCATGCACATTTTTGACTCTTCTAAAACATAAAAACACCAAAATATGCTTGCAGATATTTAAGAAACAAGCTAAATGAACATTCTTGTTTATCTGAAAAACAATGCTGATATTCTACTTTGTGGAAAACACTGCATTTCATTCATTCATTCAGAAATTGTGACCAAATTGCGACATCCGGTGGACAGTAACAACCTCTGAAATGAGACGCAGATTCAGAGTTCTACATGAAGTGGTTATTAATTAGCAAATAATATAAATATTACGGTGAGTAGGTCACATTTTCACCCCTTTGTAATTACAACACGAAACATGACAGAACTTTAAATACCACCATTCAGAAGCACAGAATAGTGCACTTACTGCACTCCAATGAAATGGTAAGGTTTATAATCTAATTAATACATATTAGACCTCTTTAACATTATTAAATGTACATGCTCAATCACTGACATGTGTTAGTTTGCATTGAGTCATGGTTCTAAAGTTCAGTTTCAAAGGGTTTATTTCATTTTCAAGATCTGAGGTGAACTTTTTGTTGCTGCTTTCAGTAGTATGGCAATAAATGTCATGTAAAATAGCATTCAAACTCATGTTTTTTTGCATTAATCACTGAATAAAGCACAGGGGGTGTACCTGAGGTTTCTGCTGTTCAGCTACAAGAAATAGAAGTCGTTTCTAAAATATATATTTCAGGTGTTGGTTGGAACAAAAACTCCTTTTAAAATGGAAATTATTCCTTCTATCGCTATTGCTTTTATTTAGAACATGGTTTAAACAAGCCTTTAGGTTCAACAATCAGGCACACTGCTGTTGGTTTTGTCAATCTGGCAACCTGTGCTTGCCTGTGTTTTGAATACCTTGAACTTAATATACCTGATGAAAACATTTTAAAAAATATTTTGAAATGTTATAGATTTTATTAATATTTTATATAAAATATTTAAATTTAAATACATATATTTTTATACTTTAATATTTTTAAATATTACAATTTGTATATTTTTTTTATTTAAAATTGTTTATATTTTATAAAACTATATTTTATATTTTATAAATGTTATACAGTTTTAATTCTAGAAAATCAACTGAACGTACTAGTGTCCAGGCGGTGTTGAGTCTCCTGTTTCTCCTGGCTGACCTGCTGCATGGTGCGACTGAGGTCAACTCCCTGCAACTTGGCTGCATGTTGAGCAATCTTCCTCTCTACATCCTTTAGATCAAGCTACACATGACAGAAAACATTCTGATTATGCACAATTAGATTACTTCAAATTAGTATGCAAGTTTGAGAATTTTTTGGGGAATCAGAATTTCTGAAATTGTGTATGATTTTAAAATACTTACACATGTAAGCAAACCAAATCTGATTCAAGTAACGATATCATATAAACATAGCAAAAAAAAAAAAAAAAAAGCTATTTTAAAGAGCCATACACAATTATCCACTATCTAGACAGAGAATTTTTTGCTTTGGTTTCTGATATCTTAACAAGATAATGGCTTACTTTTGCTCTGTTTATTACAAAGCTATTGTATGATTTTATAGGACTTGGAAATTAGATGCAATACATAATAAACCTGCAGTAAAATTCACTTTTAACAAGACCCTTCTAAGTAATAAATAAAAGCTTTTAAATGTATGCTGTGTTGTACTGCCATGTTACATTTCACCTAATTCTATAGTCTGTATTTGAACTGACTGGACATAAGTTTAGACCTGAAAGCGATCCATGAGAGAGATGTCCTGCAGACAGGCTTTGGCTGTCTCCTCCTCAGACACCAGCGTGCACAGCAATGTCTCCTGCTCCTCGATGTCTCCTTTCAGTTTCTCAATGTCCCGATTCACACGCTGGAGTTGATTTCTTAACTCTGGTAGCTCTTTCTCTTGGAGCTCCACTAAGGACTGCCTGTCATTACAAGAGACATACCAGCAAATGATTCACTGATATTTAACGCTTTCTTAATATGATGAAAGAATAGATGATAAAAGGTTTTATTTATATTTATTAATATATTTATAAATTCTTAAATGATCTTAGCATTTCACTTCAGTCTTTACATTTTTTTCCAGTTACATTTAGAATAGATTTTTTTATTTATTTAGAACAGAATAATAATTGGATAAAAAAAATAATACTTTTATAAATAATAAATATTTTAGAAAAAGTATTTATAAAAAAAATCTATATTTTTTAGATTTATAAATAAATGGGGGCGTGATTTGGTGTGGGATCCTTGTAAAACAACCCGAGCTCATTCTGAAAACGTAGTCCCGCAGACGTTTCTGGAGACAGCGGAATACGTCCCGGCGGGTACGTACGGCCGCGTTTATTTTTTTCAAGCAAACGCTGCGGGGCGGTGTGACGCTGTTCCCTATCGCGCTTGCCGGCAGGCCGGCCGACCGCTTACCTTCTTGTGGAGGGCTTCCCCGCTGCAACCCGTTTGTCCACTTAGCTCACCGTGTACGTCGGCGGGCTCGAGATGCAGAGAGGAGCTGACCACGGCGATCGGTTTCGAGTCCAGGGAAGAGCGGTTCCAGCAATCAGGTAAGACAAAAACAGAATCCCAAAAATTAAGTGAACGAGTTTCATAACAGGGTGAGAACGCGGTGAAAACCGAAAACGCGGTAGAAACAAAAAAAATCAGGGCTTTTATTTTTTTGGACGCCTTTTTGTAAACTGTTGCTCGGATATAGGGAAGCGAGCGGGCGGGTGGGTCGAACGGTAAAATTGGTTGGGTTGAGGGAAGGAAGAGGGCGGGTCAGCCGATTGGCCGGTCATGCAGTCAATCATCCGGTCAGTCGGACAGCACTCGCGAGAGGCATCTGAGATACGAAAAAGCGCACAACAGCGGACTCTCGTGGATTCGCAAAAACAAAAACTGCAGCCGTACATACCCGCCGGGACGTATTCCGCGGCCTTCAGAAACGTCCGCGGGACTACGTTTCCACAATGAGCCCGGGTTGTTATAAAAGCTTGTGCCTAAGGCCACTGCCCAGACTAGAATCCAGAGGAATCCAGGAGAACCCCAGAGGAGCAGGGGTCGACCTGATAAAACAGCACAGCTCAGACATTCCCATCTCCAATCCCTTTCTTTCTTTCCGTCGAGAGTCTAGTTAAGTTTAGTGCGACGTGAAACTAGTAATTAACACGACTACCCCTCTTGCTGCTTTAAAACTTTTCAAAACATTAATTCATTAAAAAATCATTCCATTTGCTGAAACAGAGAAAGTTGTGGCCAATCTGAGCCTCAAAGTCACCCCAAAGTGGATAAAAACATGCAACTGCACACGAGTGTTTAAGATGATCCCTCGGTTCCTGCTCGCATCTCAGCCTGCCTGTCAGACATTTCACACTGGATGAAAGATCATCATCTTCAGCTTAACCTTGCAAAAACGGAAATGCTTGAAGATTCTGCCAACCCGACTCTACACCATAACTTTTCAATCCAGATGGCTGGGGCAACCATTTCTGCATCCAAAATGGTGAAAAGCCTTGGAGTAACGATTGATGACCAACTAAACTTCTCTGACCACATTTCTAGAACTGCTCGATCTTGCAGATTTGCACTCTATAACATCAGAAAGGTTCGACCCTTCCTATCTAAACATGCAGTTTAACTCCTTGTTTAAGCTCTTATTCTCTCCAGACTGGACTATTGCAACTCTCTACTAGCCGGGCTTCCAGCTAACTCTATCAAACCTCTGCTTCAGAACGCAGCAGCATGAGTGGTCTTTAATGAACCTAAAAAAGAACATGTCACTCTGCTGCTCATCCGTTTGCACTGGCTGCCAGTTGCTGCTCGCATCAAATTCAAAGCTCTGATGTTTGCTTACAAAGCGACCTCTGGCTTTGCTCCTTCTTATCTGCTCTCACTTCTGCAGATCTATGTGCCCTCCAGAAACTTGCGTTCTGTGAATGAACGTCGCCTCGTGGTTCTATCCCAAAGTGGGACAAAATCACTTTCCCGAACTCTCGCATTCAATCTGCCCAGTTGGTGGAATGAACTCCCTAACTGTATCAGAACGGCAGAGTCACTCGCTGTCTTCAAGAAACAACTAAAAACTCAACTATTTAGTCTCCACTTCACTTCCTAATCTGCAATTGCCTCTCTGGCTCCACCGCTAACAGTACTTACATTACTAATGCTTTGCTTCTTACACTTTACACACCTGAAACTTGCCTACAGCACTTATTCATTGTTGCTCTTATAGTTGTGTAAATTGCTTCCTTGTCCTCATTTGTAAGTCGATTTAGATAAAAGCGTCTGCTAAATGACTAAATGTAAAGAAATATGAAACAAAATAGCTCAATGTGGACTGAGGTGTTTCGATACCCTAAAACAGGGTTGATTTCCACTACCATTAATAAATCCAATTAAAGTAAGTCAGGAACATTAAAGACCCAAAAAAAATCAAATAAGCCTGTGTAAAATGGGCATCCGATGTCGTGTTTAAAGGAGTAACCAATTGACAAATAGATTAAACAATGAAAGAATAATAAATGGATCATTGCCTGATGGGCTTCAGTGTCATCATTTCATCACGTCTGCGCTCCTTCCTCTTCAAGTCATGCTCCGTATTCTTCAGCTTGTCTGGGACAAGCCGCAGTTTGGACTGCATGTCATTAATGACGTCCTGGAGCTCCGCCTCTGATGGGAACACGCGCTGACATACGGGGCAGCATGGGTCACCTTCCTCCGTCAGCTGACTGATGAACTGACTGTACACAGCTGTGGCACCTGCCAACATGGCTGGACAAAGAATAGCCAGGCCAGAGAAAAAGAACAAAACAATCACATGGAAGAAAATCCAACATTAATGCCAAATCCCCATTCATCCTACGTCATCGCGTTCTCTTGCTTCATATGAGATCAGACGATCGTGACTGCTGTAGTCATTCCAGTTGCTTTATTTGTTGGTATTTATCTTCAGAAAATCTCTGAAGGCATATATTATATTATCATAACGATCTACTGTGGCAATAAGATCGTAACTGTACTGTGCATTTACACAGTGGCCATATTCATCCATGTAAACACACAAACTAACATTTACATTATAGCAGACACTGTAAAAAGCTCATTCCCAGCCACTAGACGTTTCTGACAGGGGATTCAAGTGTCATCGAGTGTCAGAATGTTTTGGGACTGCTGTACAGGAGTTAAAATGATAGATTATAGAAAGCGAAATTTATCGGTTTTTATTTTAGCGTTTTTTTTTTTAAGCATGACGGTAAAACACGAATACGGTTTTAAGTATATTAAAACATGTGCTTGTTTGTTGTAAAATTTCTGAATATTGACAAAAAAAAACTAATTTGTGGACCCCTCTATCTTGCGGGTACAGCTATGGTGCCGTTGTGGCTGGTGTATTCTGGGAAATTTTCTTACGTCTACGAGTGTGGTCCTGAAAAATATCAGTTCGAAGGACTATCTTTCCCTACCTCTTACTTCTACACCTTCAAGCTAAAGAGAATTGGGACACCCCTACCCTTTCAAGGGAACACACAAAATGAGGGGTGTGGTTCAAGTTCAAGTTCAAGTTGACATTAAGTACAGTATTGCCAAAGCACTTCAAATATGAAATATATTAAAACCATTGAAAAATGAATAGTAATACTGATAAGATATAATGACACACACACACACAAAAAACAATACATTTAATAAATATAATAATAATAGTAGTAAAAAGTTTAAATTATTTAAATAAGATAAACAAATTTACATTAACCATTTCTTATGGTGTGTAGGGTGTATACATATTTTGCAGCTAGTCTAAATGTCAATTCGTCCTCTCCGAGTACATGGTAAAGTTTTTCTGAGTCATTTAAATTAAAAAATGAATTGATCAATGTTTCAAATTGGGGGAAAAATATTTCTCTAGTCGTGGTGTATTTGGGGCAAAACAGAAGGAAGTGTGTTTCATCCTCTATTTTGTTTGTGTCACACTGTTTACATAATTTCTTTTCCTTAGGAGTCCAGGATTTTTTATGTCTGCCTTTTTCTATTTCTAAGTCATGATCACAGAGGTGATATTTAGAAAGAATGTGCTTTTCTTGTAATTGTTTTAATGATAAATAAATTGCCAACTGTGTGGTTCTATTTAGGGCCGAATAACATTTAAGTTTAGCCTGGAGGTTGAATTCAGTTTTTAATTTTTCATCATAGTTATATTTTAATGTTTTGTCAATTTGTTTGTGAAGGTTTTGTTTGGGGACGGGTTCGGATTGTGTTTTTTTCAGTAGTTCAGATACCAGTGTGTTTAGAGGATGAGACACTGTAGGTTTTTCATTAGCCAGAAGGGCTTTATATTGAACAGACTGGGGGTCCGACTGATGCAGGTGCAGCCAGAACTGAACAGCTCGTTTCTGAATCTCCAAGTTTAGCGGGTATAAACCCAGTTCAGCCCTGCAGGCAATGTTAGACGTGTTTCTGTGGATATGTAATATGTTTTTAGCAAATTCTAATTGTGTTTGTTCAATTAAACTTTTATTCCAATTTACTAATTTTAATACCGGTGCCCAAATTTCACTCCCATATAGTAAGATAAAGGACTTTTAAAATCACTTTGAATTTTAAATCGAGCACCTTATAGGTGCAGTACGTGATTGCTTCAGAAACATTTTTTGTTGCTGGTTGAAAGTCTCTTCACATTCCAATAGTAATAGTCCTCTATTAACAAACTTCAATTAGTACAAAATGCAGCAGCCAGAGTTCTTACCAGGTCTAGAAAATATGATCATATCACCCCAATTTTATCCTCCTTACACTGGCTGCCTGTTAAGTTTCGTATTGAATTTAAAATATTACTCCTCACAGGGTAACATGCTTTGTGAGAAGCTTTCCATACCTCTCTGTTTGGAGCACTTTTCCAACTCATCCTCCAGTTTGCTTAAGTCTGACTGGAAATCCTGGCTTCCACAAACATTAAAAAGTCTCTCTTCATATTTGGCCAGCTGCTCTTCTTTTCGTTTGATTTCTGCAGTGTAATGACTCTTCTTCTGTTCTCCAGATGCAAGCTCTTTACTACAAAAACAAAACAAATTGTTAATTTCAAACCTTTTCGTGTGGATAATGATCGCAGAAGCAGTTTATGAATGACAAATCCAAGACAAACCAAAAATCTATACATTTATTCTACGATGACCTAGTTTTAGGGTCTTTTGATTTCGGTGTTTGTGGTTATAAGTGAGAAAAATTACAATTATTACAGAAACAAACAAACAAACAAAAAAAGAAAACCCTCAAAATGAAAACTGTGTGAAATTGTGATAAAAATATATTACAATTGTAGAGAAATATGCAGTCGATGGTTTTACTACATTTGTACGAGCAATAAAAAAAGTGTTTCAAGATTTTTCTTCTATTTTTAAATAAATGTACAAGTTCTACCATTTTAGCCTTAAAACAAAATGGAAGTAAAAAATAACAATAAGCAACACCTCTATTAAAGTGAATTTTCTCTATGTAAAATGCTGATAAATAAAACAAGCTTCCTTATTTCAATTCAACACTCCCTAGTTTTAGTGGTGAATGGAGAACCATTTACTTGGAAAAACAACCTTTAAAAAACTACATTACCAGAGGGTAATTTACATGCATAAACTTATTTTACTGCCTGAGTGGTTTTGTTACACGGAGTAATATCTATTTAAGCAGGACATTTCTAGGACAGTTTATTTCTGCTGCATTAAAACCATCGATATCTGAATACTGCACCACGCACTCCTGTGGCCTGAAGATGACCTTTTGCTCAGGATCTGGTAACCGAAACTGAATATGCAGTGAAAATGATTATTATGAATATCACGTGGGCGTCTGCACAAATGTCAGTATTTTCTATTACATCAATGCCGGTGCATGTGTGTGTCACTGATCATGTACACATTTTGATTATTGGTTACCTGAATAGAATAGAATCATCTCAATAGAAAACAAATTGTGTGAGATGATAACTGCAGCCAGAAGAGAACACAATGTCAAATTAACTGTCCCGTCCATAGACGCTGCATTAGAAACACCTTGCATAAACGGTAATTCATTTTTTGTCATTTAATGCAAAGATTACATGTATTTGTAAATGAAAAGTGCCTCTTTAAAGTATTCATAGCGCTTCACTTTTTCCACATTGTTTTATGTTACAGCCTTATTCCAAAATGAATTAAATTCATTGATTTATTTCCTCAAAATTCCACACACAATAGCCCATAATGTAAATGTGAAAAAAGATTTTTTGAAATTGTTGCAAATTTATTAAAAATAAAAAACCTGAAAAATCACATGTACATCAGTATTCACAGCCTTTGCTCGATACAAAGGATGCACCTGTGGCAGCAATTACAGCCTCAGTCTTTTTGACTATGATGCCACAAGCCCTATCAGGTTGGATGGGAAGCGACGGTGTATAGCCATTTTCAGATCTCTCCAGAGATGTTAGGTCTGGGCTCTGGCTGGGCCACTCAAGGACATTCACCGAGTTGTTGCAAAGCCACTCCATTGATATTTTAGTGGTGTGCTTTAGGTCATTGTCCTGCTGGAAGATGAACCGTCATCCCCAGTCTGAGGTCAAGAGCACTCTGAAGCAGGTTTTCAGGATGTCTCTGTACATTGCTGCATTCATCTTTCCCTCTATCCTGACTAGTCTTCTAGTTCCTATTGCTGGAAAACATCTCCACAGGATGATGCTGCCACCACCATGCTTCACTGTAGGGATGGTATTAGCCTGGTGATGAGCAGTGCCTGGTTTTCTCCAAATGTAACGCCTTGCATTCACTCCAAAGAGTTCAATTTTAGTCTCATCAGACCACAGAATTTTGTGTCCTATAGTCTGAGAGTCCTTCAGATGCCTTTTGGCAAACCCCAGACGGGGAGTGGCTTCCTTCTGGCCACTCTACCATACAGGCCTGATTGGTGGATTGCTACACAGATGGTTGTCCTTCTGTAAGGTTCTCCTCTCTCCACAGAAGAACACTGGAGCTCAGACAGAGTGACCATTGTGTTATTGATCACATTCCTAAGGCCCTTCTCCTCCGATCACTCAGCTTAGATGGCCAGCCAGCTCTAGGAAAAGTCCTGGTGGTTCCGAACATCTTCCACTTACAGATGATGGAGGCCACTGTGCTCATTGGAACTTTGAGCAGCTGAAATTTTTCTGTAACCTTCCCCAGCCTTGTGCCTCGAGACAATCCTGTCTCTGAGCTCCACAGACAATTCCTTTGTCTTCTTGCTTGGTTTGTGCTTTGACATGCACTGTTAACCTTGAGACCTTATATAGACAGGTGTATGCCTTTTCAAATCATGTCCAATCCACTGAATTTACCACAGGTGAACTCCAATGAAGCTGCTGAAACATCTCAAGAATGATCAGTGGAAACAGAATGTACCTGAGCTCAATTTAGACAATTTCACATAGTCATTATATTATTATATTGTGTGTAGAATTTTGAGGAAATCAATTAATTTAATCAATTTAGGAATAAGACTGTAACAAAAAATGTGGAAAAAGTGAAGCGCTATGAATACTTTCCAGATGCACTGTACATAAATTTTTTGAAATGAACATATTAAAAAAAACTTTTAAGGATTTAAGATGCTGATGACTGTTAAATAATATGCTGCATAAACATCTTGTGAAAAGGGTCCATATACAAATGTTTGTTGAAAAACAAATTGCTAAAATGTGCCACAGACTTCATTTTGGTGATCTGCTCTCTAGTGGATTTGATCTCTCTGGATTTGGAGTAGATCCAGTCCTCCAGCTCTTTCTTGTTTGGAAAGTGTCCCAGCAGAGACACCAGCTCTTCATTATGTCTCGACTTGATCTTCCTCACCTGCTCCTCTTTGTCCATCTGGAATTTAAAATAAGACAGTCACTTTGGAAAACTGCTTAAGAGACACGATTAGATATCTTAGGCTGCATTTACACTGCAGATCTTGATTGTCAATTCCAATTTTGTGACTGTATCCATTTTTTTTTGCTGACCTGCTTACATCATCTTTTAAAAGTGATTACTGTCCAACCGTCTGTATCTACACAGCACATGGCAAAGACGCAATGACCTGAAAAGTAGAGCGGGCGCTGACTGACAGCTCATTATAAATGAGTGCTCTTTTCTCCATTCCTGTATTTACTGTGTTCACGGGGTTTAATTTATCAAAATTCTATACTATATTTTAAGACAGAAAAGTTCTCATTTTGCCATCTTCTTTTAATCTGGGCTTTTTTTAAACCGGTAGGCAGGCATCCTAATGTAATGTCCATGGTGTGATTAATGCACATGATGTATGCCACAGTTTTATAGTAGTTCATAAGGGTTCATAAATTAGTTCAGAACTTTTTGACTTTTCAAAATGAGCAAATGTACGTTTGGAGAAGAAAGGGCACAAAATTCAATAAAAAAAAAAACTCTTTCCAACTATTAAACATGGGGGTGGATTGGTGTATTGCAGCCAGCGGCACAGGGAACATTTCACGAGTAGAAGGAAAAAAGGATTCAATAAAATTCCAGCAAAATTTGGATGGTAACCTGATGGCATCTGTGAAAATCTAAAGTTAAAGAGAGGATGGCTTCTACAATTGGATAATGATCCTAAAAACACCGCAAAATCCACTGTGTATTACATCAAGAGGCGTAAACTGAAGGTTTTGCCATGGCCTTCACAATATCCTAACCTCAACATACTTAAAAATCTATAAATAGACCTTAAAAAATCAGTGCTTAAAAATGAATATATTACCTAGATGTTTATATCTTTTTCAGACGCATTAAATACCTATATAGAACGTGAGGCCATAATTTCAAGTTTTGGAATTACACCACAGTCCTTATGTTTTAACAAATGCAAGATAAATGTTATTGCATTTGCTACGCTTTTAGCTAGAAGATTAATATCGCTGAAATGGAAGGAAAAACTTCCTCCAACCTTTAAGCAATGACTTATGGAACTTCTACACCACCTGACTTTAGAAAAAATATGATGCACTCTGGGAGGCCGTACTGATATGTTTTTTTCTCATCTGGCAACCTGTTTTAGATCACATAAAAAAGATGGACCCCTCAGTCATTTTAGAATAGTAGAACCTTTTCTTTTTTTTTTTTTCTATTTTATTTATTGTTTTTCTTCCTTTTTTCCCTTATACAGTATATGAGAGTAACATATGTTTTACTTAATATTACTATTTATTTGTATTTTATCTTAATATTATTTAGATTTTTTTCTAGAACCTAAATGTATGTGTGCGACAGGTTTTGTTTGTTTGTTGTGTAAAAAAAAAGAAAAAGTGAAAAGCTATTTGTAATGTATGTTTCATATCTAATATGTTCAATAAAAATGCTTTTGAAAAAAATTTAAATAAAAAAGCAGCGCTTGACAGAAATTTTAAAGAACTGGAAAACTTTTGTAAGGTAGAATGGGCAAAGATACCCCAAACAAGAATTGAAAGACTCTTGGCTGGTTACAAAAACAAGCTGTGATGCTTGCCAAAGGGGGCAGTACAAAAAAAAACTTTCTAAAGGAGGCGGTGCATGCTATAAACTCTGCAGGGTGCCCAAACTTTTGCAGACACCATTTTTTGTTTTCTGTTATTTTTAAAGAGTAAATGATGGAAAAATATCTAACTTTTTTTGACATTAAAAGAACGTCTAATCTGTAATTTGATGCCGTTTGGAGATTATTCCATCTTTCCTTGGCTTCTTTATGCACATTAATACAAATTTTTACCTGGGATGCCCAAACTTTCAATCCCCTCTGTAATATTGTCCAAAGAGTTTGTTTATATGTACGAAAGCTTCAGTCTGAACATGGACTGGCATAAGAGTGACGTTGTGAGAGCTCACCTTGGTTTTCTTCATCATGTCCATCTGTGCACGTGCCGTGGTGTGTGTGTTGAGCATTTCCATCTCTTGGTCCAGTTTGCGCTGTGCCTGATCCAGTTGAGCCTTTTCCTTCAGTAGTTCAGTTACCTCGACCTTCAGACTGTCCACTGTACAGGCCTGCACAGCATTATCAAGCTCACGCTCCTACAGGACACATAAATATCAATGTTAAAAACACATAACAAAAGGCAACATAGCATAGCGAAACATAACGCATTTGACAGCTCAATAATAGATTTACATTTGAGCAATTCCATGAAAATGTCAACCTTGCCATGAAAGGAAAAATGTTTTCACCAAAATAGCGAAACCATTTCTACATTTTTTGCGCAGGCAAGTGTTTTACAGTACTTTAAAAATACTTAAAAATGTCTCTGTTAATGTTTTCAAACTATTATATTTGATTTACCAAAGTCAAACAAATGGCAATTTCACATCCGTCACATCCATAACGAAAAAGTGTCACATCCATAACAAAGCTTTTCCCTCAAAAATGTCAAAATAAAATAAAATCAATCAGTTTTGTTCTATAAAGAGCCAACTCTTATTCGTTTGTTGAGCATTATTTATTTTGGGTTGTGCAGTTTAATTCACAGAATTTCTACGAAATATGTTGTATACTGTAAACTCACTTTTTTGTCACATCCATAACGCTCGTTTATTTTCCTCATTTAAAGTATAGAAATGTTCACAGATTGAATTTTTTTGATCCCATAACTCTGTGGTTAGTTGTTTTGGAAAATATAAACAGATGATTCAATATAATGTTAACATATACTGTCTCTGCGAATTTATGTTTTGAATTTTTACTGCAAATGTCACATCCATAACGCTGGAATCAGCCATTTACATTTTCTGTCATCTACTTTTTAACACACAGTTTTCGCAGTGGTTATTTTGAAGCCAAAGCTCCAATGTATATAATCCTAAAACTGTATTAGTAATATGTAATATTGTTGTATTAAATGTAAAGTTATATTGCCATTGATGGCATTAAAAGGAATAAAATAAAGCTTAAAGATAGCTTAAACATAACAACTGGTGAGAAACAACAAAATTAAAAATAAGGTATAGAAAAATTACATTTTGATAACTAGAAACTAAAACTTCAGGTGACACAAAAATAAAATTCCCTGATTCTCCATGATTCAGCCAAAAAAAGTATCCACATTTAATGTCTGGAATAGACCTTTTTTAAATTTACATTATATTCCAGAAATTCCATGACTCATGGGTAATATATTATACTATACTATTCTATTCAGTGCATCTAAAATATGGTAATGGTGCAGGATCTAACCGCTTTCTGAAGCTCAGTGTCCAGCTCTTGCAGTCTGTTGGAGGAGCCCTCCAGTTTTTGAAGGTCAGACTTGATATTCTTCAGTTCTTGTTGCTTTTTGGCCTGTAGGTCTTTCTTTAGCTCAATGGTTCTCTCTAGACCTGTCTTTTTATCCCGGAGATCATCAATGTTGTGCTGTTTCTGGGTCTCTTTCTGCTGCATGTCATGCTGAAACACAAAGAAATTATTATAAAACAGCAAAACTTACATTACTGAAAATAGTATATATATATATATGTGATGTGTGTGCGTGAGTGTGTATATATATGTATATATGTATGTATATATATATATATATATATATATATATATATATATATATATATATATATATATATATATATATATATATATATATATATATATATATATATATATATATATATATATATATATATTAAGGGTGTAACGATACACAATGCTATTGCTAGTTACAAGACACCGTCTCTCAGCATCGACAGCAATAAACATCTTGCAAATGACACTACCAATGTGTCGTATAGAACCGAACCGTGATTTTTGTGAACCGTTACACCCCTATATATAAATATGTATCTGTATGTGTGTGTGTGTGTGTGTACGTGTTTTTGTGATACATCAGGGCACAAATCTGTATAATGACATGGGTATGACACAGGTATTACAAAAAGGAGGTGAAATATGAGGACATTGGTGACGTCCTCATTTCTCTAAAAGCTTATAAATCACACAGGATGAGTTTAATCAGAGAGTAAAGCTGCACAGTCTCCTGTGATGGTGGGGTTTAGGGGTAGGGTGGGGTGAGGGCAATACAATATACGGTTTGGACCGTATAAAATGAATGGAAACCTATGTAATGTACCCACTTTTCACAAAAACAAATGTGTGTGTGTGTGTGTGTGTAAACAAGGTGGTAAATGTAGTGTCATGCAATTATCTACCATAGTTTGGTTGAGGGCTTCCGAGTCCTGGTCCAGTCTTTCTTTGATTTGTCTGTAAAAGCTTTGGAGTTGTCGCTCACTAAGTGGCGTTCGATCATAGCCCTCCAACTCCAGGAAAGACGCCAAAGTCTTTACCTGGGTGTCTCTCTTTTTAATGTTCTGTGTGTGTCTATCTGCCTCCAACTGCAGACGACCTTTAAACAAACAGAAAAAAAATTGAAGAACGGCTCTAAGAAAGAATACGTTCATCTTAAATAAATGAGAAATAAAAATACAATAAGCTGATGAGCATGAGGTTTGAAATGGTCAGCAGGTTGCCATATATATCGTTTGTGCTATTTACTCCTGGACAAGTACACAAGAATTTCTTATAGTTTTGCTGACTTCTATTAACCTGCTTAATGCTTTCAAAATCTGTAAACTATTTTAACATTCCAGGTAAAATCAAAAAGCATTTATATATATTTATATACAAGTTATTAAAATGTTACCATAATTGCTCAAAGAAAGAAAAAAGTTAACAAAATTTTATGCAGCAAAGGTTTGTCAGCATAGCTATATATACATTAGATGTCGCCTGGCCTATTGTTGTCTATTAGACAGAATGCGTCAATAGTGCCGCCATCTTGCTACAGGGTAGCGCTCCTTTGAAATTAATGCGGGACCAAAGTACAGTGGAGGACTGTGGCCATCCAAAGCCAGAGATATACACATATATCTATGATCGGGAGTTTTCCTGGATGTTAGTATGTAATTTTTTTTCTCTAATTACGAAAATGATAATTTTACATCACTTTTCTACATTGATGGATCAGTGACCGCACGGGCATTCCTGACAAAAAGCTTGTGTTTGTGTGTACAGAAATGTACTATTCACCCTCCCTGTTAAATTTGATCTAATCATGTCCTGAAACACAGCTCCTCTCCTGCTTTCACTTCTCATACTGACAGAGGGAGCGATTCGTTTGTGAATGAATCTCCGTTATGAACGACTCGTTCACTAGCCGACAATAATACAAGTTTCTGGCAGCGCAGCATCTCGTTGTCATAATTCTTTTGCATTGTTTGCTGATTTTATTCAACAAAACTAGCATAAGCCGAGTGTTTAGTGCGAGTTGGAGCTGCTTTGCCTTATGGTGAATGCAGTAAGTGACTGTTATCATCAATAACGTTACCTGATTAGCACAAAAGTTCAGACCATACAAAAACAGAAAAAAACTTAATATTACCTATGAAATGTTCTACCTTTGTGCTTTGTTTTCTTTGTTTGCTCGTTACTACACCCATCCACAGCGCTAAAGTCCAGCGTCTTCACGTAATAACACTGTCTTGACTAATGCGGTTGAATGACATTTGTCCTGGGAGCACTGTACCAATGTGGCGGCTCTATTAACGCATGCTCAGGGTCCCTATGCGATATCTAGTGTATATATCTATGGTTTGTCAGTAGCCAAACGAATGTGTTTATAACAACCTTCACCCCAAAAGCGTTATAGATATGGAAAATTTGTCTTTACTGTTTATTAAACAGTTGAAGTCACATTTGTCCAGTTTAGAATTTGACGTATTCTAAGAAATACTTCTCGTGTAATTTACTTGGTTGTCCATGTCAATTGAATATTGTACATTTCTACGTCTTATGATAACCACTTTGGGCAATTCAACTTATAATTAAATGTGCTGTAGAAATAAAGCCAATGGAATATGAACAGCCAAGGAAGTTTGATTACCTTGCTCCACTAGCAGCTCAGACTTGATGCGGTTCATCCTCTGGCATTCTCGACCAGCCCTTTCAAGCTCACGTTGGCACTCTACAAGTCTTTTTTCCTTCTCTTTCACGGTGCGCTGGTGATTCTGATACATGTCCTGTAGCTGATCATCTGAGCCCTGAAACACCTACAAATAGCAAAACAGAGTCAGAGCTAGCCTATTAACAAGTGATGTGACACAAGGCGTTGTATTGGGTCTTTCTGTTTTTGTCCTCTTACAGTAGGTGAAATTTTTATGAACAGTGTTAAGCAATGAAACAGTTTACTTTTCATTGTTGTGCAGAAAACTTCATAAAGGCCCTATCGTACATTTGGCAGTGGCACCATGTGTTATTTGCTAGTTTTAGCCTAGTGCAGGTATCATTTACACATTTTGGCGGACACTATTTAAATAGCAAATGCATTTGCACTTGTTTGTGCGCCCAAGGCAGTGCTGGTCTGAAGAGGAAGCGTGTTAAGACGCATTGTTCGCACATTGCTGTTTTGCGTCAACTAAAATAGAAAGCTCCATTGACCAGCAAAAAGCGGGTATAATGTCAATAGTGCAGGGTTTTTATTTGTTATTTGAAGAGCATGCGAGTTCAAAACTTGTGTAGTCATTGCTCATTCAGAGGCTCATTTTATAGATGGTCTTTAATCATGCAAAGACGGTCTTTAACCCTTTTCTTGCTAGTGAAGCTTTCAGCAATCAGACTCTGTCAGGTTTAATGCATGTTATTCCCAAAACACACCCATAACTCATCAAGAAAACAAGAACAACCCTTTCAAACCATGTGCTGGACTCACAGACCATTTTCACCATTCCTAAAATAGCAAAAATGGACTCGGATGAGTGAAAGTTCACCAAACAATTTAGACCAGTGGTCACCAAACTTGTTCCTGGAAATGTCCTACAAATTTTAGCTCCTACCCTAATTAAACACACCTGAACAAGCTAATCAAGGTCTTACTAGGTATACTTGAAACATCCAGGCAGGTGTGTTGAAGCAAGTTGGAGCTAAACCCTGCAGGGACACCGGCCCACCAGAACCGAGATTGGTGACCCCTGCTGTAGACTATTTAGAACCTCTATAATAACAATATATCATCAAGCAAAGGGAAAAGTTGTGAATCAAATTAAGACATGACTAAGGCCGTATTTATACTGCACAGTTCAAATGACTCAATTCCGATTTTTTTTTCTCCCATGTGGCACAAATCGGATTTTGCTCATGTACGTGTAAGCAGGAACAAATCACATGGATTCAGATTTACTCAAATCAGATTCAGGCCTTGTTTATATGTGGAAATTTATCCGATATGAATCAGATCTGTGTTTTCGTGTCTGCAGTGTAAGCAGGTAGATCGGATTTTCACCTGTTAATACGAGTTGCGCGTAAAAAAAAAACGTAGCAAATGACAACAAGTCTGACACTTTCATTTTAGAACAGACTTCAGCAGAGCCGCAAACCTTGAATCTCATACACGAGGACTTAAACAGCTTTGATATTGTCATATAGCACAGGTCATGGTTTCCGCTACATTCATTCTTCCATGGCGGGGCGCCACGGCAAAATTGATACCCCCACGGCTACATTACAACTTCTCATTCAAACATTCAGTCGTGTTTTATTTAATAGCGAGTGATAATCGCACCAAAACATATTAAAAGGTAAGTAAATTATAACAGCGCAAATTTTTCTGTAATCGTAGTAGTGCTGTGCCTTATTCGTTTAACCCTTTAAGATTACGTGCTGCCTGACTGACTGACAGGTGCGTGATGCGTGAGGCCAGCAAACATGACGTATAGCCGTTTCACTTTACTTCAGGACGCATTAATGTCGCTCTGTAGGTCTATTAGAGACATTCATTAATATTCCTAGCACTTCAGCAGCGTTTATTTGAGAGCACACAAGAAGATCTGCATTTGAGTGGGCATGCTAGAATTTTTGTGCATGGGCAGAGGAAATCGGCATGCAAGCAAAGAGATTCTCATGCTCCAAGGCTATATTACATAAATGCGATCTCGACTTGTAAAACTGCGCTCATGACATTTGTGATTAACGCCACAGGTAGTTGGTAGATCTGTGTAAAAAAGGCCTGCCGCCACAGCTGGAAAAAATCCTAGAGAAAACACGGCAGGTATTTAAGCATGTTAACGTAGCATTTAACGCATGTTAGCGAGAGAGCGCAATGTCCGCCACGTAACCAATATATATATATAAAACTAGTGCATTCATCATGTGCATAAATCACGCCATGGACATTACATTAAGATGCCTAAAGGTTTAAAAAAAAGCCTATCTATTAAAAGAAGATGAGAACCTTTCTGTGATAAACTATAGTAAAACAGCTTGTCAAAAGCTGCGAACAGATTACATAAAGAAATAGAGAAAAGAGCACTCTTTATTATCAGCTGTCAGTCAGCGCGGCTCTTTTTTTCCAGGTCATTGCGCCTTTGCCATGTGCTGTGTAAATGCAGACGATCGGATACGAGCCACTTTTAAAAGATGATGTAAGCAGGTCAGCAAAAAAATTGGATACAGTCACAAAATCAGATTTGACCATCAAGATCTGCAGTGTAAAGGCAGCCTGAATGCTTCAACTATAAGGAAGAACTAACAGTTTATTTTGAACAGCAGACGTTCATTTGAAACTTGAGGATTTATAGAGTTATAATATGAAAACAGTTGATGGACCCCTTATTTTATCTTAACACAAAGTAAATTACAATAAAAAAACAAGCCACATGTTCCATCATCAAATCCAAACAAAAAAAAAGGCATTAGTAAATATACCAATAACAGCATTACTTAATATCCTATACAGGTTTCCTTGGGGTAATTCTTCTATGCTTACATATGATCTAGCAACTATGAATAATACTGAAAGTAATCAGTTCAGTTACCTGTTCCATCTTTTCCTCTAGCTCCCGGTTATCATCCTCCATCTGTTTCTTCCTACTGTCCAGAGCTTTGATGTCGTTGTCCAATTTCATCACTTTGCCGAGGCTGCTTTCTATGTCATTTAGTCGTCTCTGAAATGATGTAGAAGGTGTATTTGATGAGAATAGGTTTATGGGTAAATTTGATTGCGGTTTATCTATTGTTTTAATTGTCCTATAATATGAGGCTTCTTGCACCGATTATAGACTTAATTGGGTAAAAGATCCAGAAATTTGGAGATCCAGAGTTTGGACCACGTCAGGCATTTAAAGGATTACTTATGCACATCACCTTAAAAAAGCAGAGGAGAATGGCCCTGAAGCACACAGCAAAAGGTAAGAGATGACAGCGGTCTGTGCTATCTAGGGCCGCATAGTGATCATGCATGTATTGTTTTCACTTCTGCGCCATTGAAACACCGCGATTCATTCAACAACTGTTTGATATGTGAATATAATTCAGTAAAAAGAATGTTAGAACTGTATGAGCACCAGCAAGAGCTTTCATTTGAGCTGTAACTTGTACATGTGTCATATGAAAAATATGAAAATGAACCAATGTAAAATACCTAGCTCGGGTATTCAAAAAACTGTGTATTTAAGTGTAAATAACTTTTGTACAATAGTATAAAAAACCAAAGTGATGCATATGTGCATAAAATATAGATTCTACACTTTCAAACGAAACATCGCAAGGGGGTCTGGTGCAATGCTAGCCCGGTACCGGGTCCATGGAGTTTAACTGGTTTTGCAAGTACTGTACATGCCAACTAATTCTCATTAGATTGTAAGTAGACTGTTAGCCTGGGGTTAGGGTTAATGTAAGTTACTACTAATACTCAAACGGACCATCAAAAATAAAGTGTTCCCCAAATACTATAAATCAGACCCCTGGCCTTTTCTCACTGTTGATTTTAAATCATTAACAAACATTAACTAATAAGACATTAAGTTTTAACTATTGTACATTATAATGCTTTTGCAATTTCATTTGGTTAAAACATTTGTTTACTCTGAACATTTAAATATCTAATATATAAATCATTTCCCAGAGATGGGTTGCGGCTGGAAGGGCATCCGCTGCGTAAAAACTTGCTGGATAAGTTGGCGGTTCATTCCGCTGTGGCGACCCCAGATAAATAAAGGGACTAAGCCGACAAGAAAATGTATGTATGTATTTAAATCAATGAATAAAAAGGAAAGCCTCAACTCTAAAATTCCACAGTAAATTCCCCTCATGCTTAATCTTCTAGAACAACATAAAGACTGATTTCATAAATTCCAATTAGATTTTACCTCCAGAGGGTCAATCTGACCCTCGATGCGATTGACACTCTCTTTGGAGGAAGCTAGCTGAGTTTCTTTGGTGGAAAGCAGCTCTCGAATCTCTTGGGCTTTATCTTTGTTCTGTTTCAGGTACTTGAGCTCCATCTGGCAGGATTTAACAGTGTTGGTCTGCTTCTGCCTCAGCGTCCGCAAGGTCTCCAGCACCTTAATGTACCTTTAACCAAAGCATATGTAAACATTTTCAAGCATTCATCTGTGATGGCAGCTTAATTGAAGTGAATAAATTCCTAATACAGGGCAAAGCAACCTATTAACAATACATTTCACGCGGTAGGTTTTAACATGTAGTTTTTAAATTTAAGTTAGGCTTGTCATAAATATTATTACGAACATCATTTTAAAGGCATAAACAGTGATGTAACACAAATAATTCTAGGTTTTAATTCTAATAAAGTAATTAGCAAATGAACTTTTTCAACAAAATAGCCGAGCTTATAATTAGCTATTAATAAATATCATAAGAAACTCATTTATTGGTGAAGTTATTTACAAAACTCAAAATACAGAATGTCACCAGGCTAAAGACATGTAAAATAGCTAAATACACCATTTGAAATCTTTCTTTAAAGCATAAAAAAATTTCATGTTTTGATTTGATGAATAAAAATGTTTCTTCTAGGCCTACATTATGTATTTTTTCTAAAGTAACGACAATAAAAATAGAAATAAAAATTAATTCTAAAAATTATATATATATATATATATAGGCCGATTTTATATATATATATATATATATATATATATATAAAATCGGCCTATATATATATATCAGCTATCTGCCTCCAAGTCTGAAGAGTTCTCGGTTATTGACATCGGCTAAAACATCCATCTGGTGCATCACTAAACAATAGAAAAAAATCTCTACTCTTGACTGATTATTTATTATTGCTTCATGCATGGGGCAGTAGCTTCTGTAAGAAATGAGTTAAAAATACCTTGTGGCTGAGAAAATCTCATCAAACTTCTGCTTGAGGGCTTTCCCTTCACTGAGAGGCCAGTTGGACTCTTCTTGGTGGCAAAAGATGACATGGTTGAGAACAGCTCTGGAGACGCCCAGGGAAGAGATCATCTCACGGTCTATCTCAGCACATTTAGAGCTCAGGCTTACTTTCTCACCATGCCTGATGTCAAGAGAGGTCAAGATAAATTCATGTCAAACATAGTCTTTCCAACAGGAACCATAATGTATTCTTTTTTTGAGGGAAGCATATACAAAAAGACATACATGTGCTATATAATTATATGAACCTTCTATTCTTCTTTCTATTCTTGCTGTGCTGTTTTTTTTATTAAAGGAATGCATCCTTGATAACATTAAACATCTTTCTAACAAAATAAAAGCCTTATAAACCCCAAACAATGGTATGGTAGTGTGTGAGAGCAATGTAACTTACTTTATTCTCGTAATGACGCCCTCAAGCGTTTTGAATTCTGTTTTCTTGCCTTTCTGTGTGCACTGCATAGATCTTTGCACAGCCACAGCATCTCCATTCACATCTCTAAACTGGAGTCTGATCTGTGCCCGTACATCAGTCTCATGAGCATCCTATAACAAACCAACATTACTGTTGACACTGTGTAAGAAGAAAGGTCCATAGTAACACGTTTATTTAATTTCTGTAATCATATTCATGGTATGTATTGTCATCAATACATACTAAATCCGGAGAACAAAATTTACATTTTTGGGGGGAGTCAACTATTATTTGCCCTGTTCAATACATCTAGCAATATATTGAATAAAATATTTATATTTAGACCAGCTCTTATAATGCACAGTATAATCCAATGTTTGCAGAGACATGAAAAGTACATGTTCAGAACTCAGAAATTGTATACAATGAGTCATTTCTGTCAATGACTTACTTTGGGATCATGGACAAAAGTGTTTCCTTTACTTCCTGGTGGAAAGTCTCCTGATGTGATGTACTTGAGACACTCAATGATGGTCTGCAAAAATACAAAGAATTAGTTTTAATGTGCTACACTTTTAGCAATTTTTTAATTGACTATTTGTTGCTTTTACATTTTAGCAGCGATAAAATACAATGTTGAATTAAATAATGCATAAGATTCCATGAGTGTATCGTAATGCTGCTTCACATCTTGAAGGTAAACACCTTGACATATCTCTAGCTTGTGAAGACAAATAACCAGGGCCCGGTTTTTCAAAAGGTTTAATCCGGATAAAATTGATCCAGATTTAGTAATCCTGTTTTTGCAATCCGTGATCACGTAATCCAGCTTACTTTTTGAGCCAGTTTTTCAAAGCAACATTGGATTGGATCAATCTGATCCAGATAGGAACTTTTCAGGATCACTAAATCTGGATTACCAGTGCTCAATCACAATGTAGATGGATAGATAGGCCTATGTAAAGAGCAACAAGAAGAATAGCCAGTGTGGGGTAAATATAACTTTATTTTTATTTGAAATGAAAACTAAGAATATTTTATAAATGATAAATTATAATAATAAATAATAAAAGCAAGAAAACCCCGACCCCATACTCTTCCAGCAGTCCGCTCATCTGAGATCTACAACACTGTACATTGAGGATATTCATAATAAGTTTCAAATATAGATGTATTGAATAAAAATAAGACAAATGTTGAAACCTCCACAATAATGTCAGACTTCCTCATCTGATGTGGAGAGAGCAGCTTGTCTGAGCGTATTCTTTAGGAGGGAAATCTCAAGTGTGGTCTTGGTTTGCTGCAGTTTGGTCAGAGACAGTTGTTCCTTTCTGAGATGAAGCTGAACTTCTGCCCAGTCTCTTTTTGTAATTGTTAAAAGTGATTTAAAAAATCAGGCATTGCCATTATTTGCATTTTTTTTTTGTTATGCTATAATCATTGCATGCATCACTAATAAATATTCTAAACACAAAAATATTTTCCATTGTGATGAAATATATATATATATATATAGTTTTTGGTAAATTTTGACAGCTGTTTGGGGGATTATTTTATGAGGCCAAACTCTTTCTATTTTGCTGTAGGCCTATACTGAAAGGCTAAATACATTAAAGTCTATAATCACTATAGCCTGACAGATGAACAAATAAAATTAAAACCTTATGAATAAATAGTATATCTCATAAGATACTGCATGATCCAAATATAGTTTTATTTAATAATTTTTTTAAGTTTTAATTACATTTTGGGCATGAAATCCACGCTAAATCCACCCTTCTGATGGGATCAGTTTATTCCAGGTTTTTTGGATCAAAGTGATCCAAATCCTACAAAAAAGGTCTGAAAAACCCAAACTAAAGGTTTGATCCGGATCAAAACCAAGATTGGATTACGTGATCTAATCTGATTATGTAATCCGTTTTTTCCTTTGAAAAACCCATTTTCAAGATTTGATCCAATCCCTTATCCAAAATCGTAGTAGATTACTTTTGAAAAACCGGGCCCAGGGCTTAAAGTGAATACAGGCGGAGTGTTTAGTGCTGTCGCCTTATAGCAAGAAGGTCGCTGGTTCGAGCCTCGGCTGGGTCAGTTGGCGTTTCTGTGTGGAGTTTGCATGTTCTCCCCGCATTCGTGTGGGTTTCCTTCAAGTGCTCCGGTTTTCCCCACAAGTCCAAAGACATGCTGTATAGGTGTATTGGGTAAGCTAAATTTGTCCGTAGTGTATGTGAGTGTGAATAAAAGTGTATGGGTGTTTCTCAGTGTTGGGTTGCAGGTGGAAGGGCATCTGCTGTGTAAAACATATGTTGGATAAGTTGGCGGTTCATCCCGCTGTGGTGACCCCAGATTTATAAAGGGACTAAGCCGAAAAGAAAATGAAGGAATAAAGTGAAAGCTTACCAAGAGCCAAATGAACATGAAAGTGCATTATGTGCCAAAATCAATAATAATAATTACTATTAATATAAATATAAATACTTTACAATTCTGTAATGTTTTTAAGTTTCTGTGTTTTTATTCAAATTTACCACAAATGTTACTATTAATAATTTTAAATATGTATTTATCAGCTATTTAGCAATATATACAGTTGAAGTCAGAATTATTAGCTCCCCTTTGAAGTTTTTTCTTCTTTTTTAAATATTTCCCAAATGATGTTTAACAGAGCAAGGAAATTTTCACAGTAAGTCTGATAATATTTTTTCTTCTGGAGAAAGTCTTATTTGTTCTATTTCGTCTAAAATAAAAGCAGTTTTTAATTTTTTAATCACCATTTTAAGGACAAAATTATCAGCCCCTTTAGGCTATTTTTTTTCCGATAGTCTACAGAATAAACCATCGTTATACAATAACTTGCCTAATTACCCTAACCTGCCTAATTAACCTAGTTAAGCCTTTAAATGTCACTTTAAGCTGTATAGAAGTGTCTTAAAAAATATCTAGTAAAATATTATTTCCTGTTATCATGGCAAAGATAATTAACCTAGTTTAGTCTTTAAATGTCACTTTAAGCTGAATACTAGTACCTTGAAAAATATTTAGTACAATGTTATTTACTGTCGTCATGGCAAAATGACAATAAAAATAAATACAGTAAAATAAATCAGTTATTAGAAATGAGTAATTAAAAATATTATGTTTGGAAATGTGTTAAAAAATCTTCTCTCCGTTAAACAGAAACTATATATACATTATAGTTGAAGTTAGAATTATTAGCCCCCCTGTTTATTTTCTTCCCCAATTTCTGTTTAACAGAGATATTATCATATATATATATATATATATATATATATATATATTTGCAAATATGATTTCCCTATATATTATTTGCAATATACACACCGTTTTGCCAGCTCCATTAGGTCCCACAAGCACCGTGAGAGGGCTGAAGAAGGAGATCACTTGTTTATCTTTATCCTCCACTCCAAAACTCCTCACTCCCAGAATACTCATCTTCTCAATCTTTGACATTTTGGACCAGTGATTTAACTTCGAGCTAAAATGAAATATTAACCACAATTCACGATTTAATAACCAGAATAACACAATTATAATTGGGGTAAAGTTGGTTTTATATTTTCACATTCGTTCATGTAAGTTAACTGTCTCTATATTGTTTTTACCACCCTAATTTTAATATTCGGTCAGAATTAGCATGCAAGTATGACTTTAAAACAACATTAGCACTATCTAACGGACTGTAAACATGGTTGTAAAGTTACTTTGATAATCATTGATGCTAATATGATTTCCCTATTTAGAATTTGGACAGAATACTTTTCTCAAATCATATTATTAAGGAGAATATCTGAATATAAAACCAACTTTACCTCTATACAGATATTATATGATCACTGACATAAGTGATTAACGTTAGACTGTACAATCAGTATGAAAAGGGGTATACTTATATTCGTAACACACTCATTTTATAAAGTGCAGTTGAGCAAGCAAATCAATACATATATTAACGCGGATGCAAAACACCTTTACATTTTCTTAGAGTAACGTTAACTCACAAAAAACAATGAAGCAAGTTTCCCTTGAACTCAAGCTTACAGGACTTACATGAACCAAGACGTGTGTTTCCCGCGTCGGCGCACTGACGTGCTTCCGCATACAACTTCTTGACGAAAGGCATCTAGAAACTACAAACCCCAGAACTCAGACAAAAAAAATAAATAAATAAAACGTATGCTTTTGTGCTCTGTGATTCGACATTTCAACAACGAGTAGTCTACGTGACATGTAATTATTTTATTAATATGTATTACTAATTTTAAATTAATTTAAATAAAAAGTGGTTCCATTTATAATTAACGTTAGGGCAAAAACATACTGAAACTGATTCCACTCATTTCCCGTATTTTAGATCTACAGTTAATTTTCACTATAAAAGTGCCTTTGAGACATCAAAAAAAGTTTCATTTTTTTTTTATTTAACCACATTACTTTTATCATGACCATAGGCTGTAGGAAATGAATGTTGGTCAAGCTCCTGCACTTTTTGCAAATAATCTGCAAACAGAAAAACAGTAAACAATCCTCAAATTCTGTCAACCCTGTCATGGACAAATTCAAAGTAGTATAAGTATATTTTCATTGCAGTGTATTTATGAAATGTATTTTCAGAAAGGTAATGTGTCCCGGAAGACCGTTCCCGCCACTGAATTAAAAAAAAAAAAAAAAAAAAAAAATATATATATATATATATATATATATATATATATATATATATATATATATATATATATATATATATATATATATATATATATATATATATATATATATATATAATTTTAAAAAAATTATAAAGTCAGAATTCTGGGTTATAAAAGTCACAATATTGAGTTATAAAGTCAGAAATTGCGAGTTTTGCGTTTCCTGTTATGGCGACCAAAATGGAATGTTAAAGATGCATGCACATTACTGTAGCTCATAATCACAACAAACCTATATCCGACTTTTCATTGTTTATCACGCTTTCAAAAAGGAAATTGAACTAGGCTGTCTATTTATTCGAATGGATTTGTTATTTTTTAATTATGCTATATGGACCATTTGGTCTAAATAGCAGCTATAAAGGATTAAATTAAGCGCCTGAAACTATTAGCTGTAGGTTGTGTGATTCCTCCAAAAGTTTAAAATTAGGATTTCTATATCATTTATCTCTTATATGTGTAACAGTGATATGATTTATATTTTGTTGCAGCTGTTACTTGTTTCATATTGCAAGAGTGCCCTCATGTGGTGTACTTGAGAGCTGCGAACATATACATAGACGTTACAGGTTTTTTTGTTGTTGTTTACACAATTACTTGTACTTCATACACATTGACTACAACATGTAACTGATGCACCAACCCCCTGAACCAATCCTGTTAAACTACAAGCACAATTCCTGCTTCACACCCAAATTGCAGGTTTAAAACACTTTTTTTTTTAAAGCACTACACACAATTAATTCTCTGTATTTGGCATAATTTTCATGCAGAAAATCTTTTGTGTTTCACAAGGAACTTGTATGTCAAAATTGTAAAATCAGTTGCCCTACTTTGCATACTAGCTCATCACATAGGTAAACAACTGTCACACAGAATTGCAATTTAGAAATCAGAGCTCATCTGGTTCATAACTGGTTCACTGCCCACCCAGGTTTTTTTAGTTGTTTCCTCCATATTCTCCGTTCCTTAAACCTAGAATTTGCTCGAAATAACGCAAAAACTACCAATTTTCACTTTTTAGTGAGATATATATGTCCTAATAGTGTTTTAAGCAGTGTGGGACACATACACGACTGTCAACAGCTCAAAAAATGTGTTTTGGTGTTTCGTGACCCTTTAAGCACACAATGTTTCCCGCATGGTAAATAGCTGTCCCTAATGTGTATATTTTAAGTCCTGTTGATTGGTAATTAAACATAAAAACGTTTCTAATATGTATGTGTTATTTATAAGTTATTGTTCATATTTTACAAGTGATATTTCTACCCCTGTGAAGATAATGAATATCAACAACCCGTTATAAGAGAAATATTTTTTGTGCGCATAGCGGAGTCTAACTCAAGCTAGAGTTTATGAAAGATCATTTATTTTGCAGTCCAACATATAATTAAAAACAGCTTACATCACAGTTTTAAATTGTGTATTATTGCGTGTTTTTAAATGTAAGTGCCTATATTTATATTAGAGAGCCTTTGTTATAGTTCAGATATGGGCGGTCGAATGAGAAGTTCGAGGAGTGTGGTTGATTTGACGTACAAGAGTTTGGTGGAAGCTTAATTTTGCGGCTTCGCCTCTGGCTCCATCAGGTAGTCCCTTCTGCGCATGCTCAGGCCCCAATTTTAGCAGTGTTTTGCGACAGTTTGTGCCTCCATATTTTTCACAGTCATTGGGTCAGTCCTCATAAGTGGAAATGTCCGTGTAGTGCGTAATCAGTTCAAAAGTCCATGTAAAACTAAATCTAACACACACACATTTATCTTTACACTTTTTGCATGCCACATGTAACAGGAAACACATTAATATACACTTCTATATCGACATCCATTATGTTAATGTATAAATAATCCTGATTTTAGTACACAAACTGAGATTGAAGCGTCTTCTTTTGTACTGACATGAAGCTGTGGAAATGAAATAACGTAGTGATTTTACTGTCTTTATTATAAACATGCACTGTTTTAAAAATGTTTTAGACTAGTAAAACTCATTATTGAGGTGCAGATGATCACAGAAAGCTAAACAGTTCTTTTAATCTCAGTTGTTTTGTGTACATCCTGTCTTGTAGATATGATTATACGAGTTCCTTTGGAGACATGTTAATACGCGACTGTCAATCAATTCAGTGGGCAGGGAAATATGCAATAAATGCACCAGACATTCTGTGAAAATGCAGAGCCTATATGTCACTTTCCAAAACCTTTTCATTCAATGTTCCTCGTGTAACCCCTGCCATTCCTGCATCACCCAACCAAGTTGCTTTACCAAGGAGGCTAAAGACCATGGCCCTAGCGTCTGTTACTAGAGCACCTTTTCGGGTTCAGAGGAGTGAGGTTAACTACACAGCACTTTACTAGCTGGCCTCCATTAAACTCACCCCCCTAAACCTCACTCCCAAATGTAACCCCCGCCTCTCCTACATCACCCAACCCGCTTCGAGCTGACATCAAACTGGCGACCTTCCGCATGGGAGAAGGCTAAAGACCATAGTCTCTAGTGTCTGTTGCTAAAGCACCTTTTTGGGTTCAGAGGAGTGAGGTTTACCTACCTAGCTGGCCTCCATTACACCAGCTGGTGAAATGATCTTCCCATTTCCACTTGGACTGCGGATACCATCTTCTGAAGCCTTTCATGACATGCCTAAGGCACTACGCAAGAAATGCAATGAATCCTGCCCACTTCAGCTTCTAACTAATCACATTAAGTCCTGTACTGACATTGTTGTGGAGGATAAGGATGATTCTCAAGATGCGCCTCGGCATAAGGCACAGGACATGGAATGTCAGAACAAGAACAACAAAGTCAAGAGCAATGAACAGGTAAGTTTCTTACTACTGTTGTATATTTGACCCAATGAGATACAATTGAATAAGATAAAAAAAAAAAAGATGAGATATAAACAAATAATTTGTGTGTTTGTTAGATTATCTGCATTATAGGCTTGCCGTCCTATTTTTCAGGAAGAAATGCCGTTTGAAATTTTGGAAGTCCATGCCAGTGAATGTGGGAAAAGGTTTGCAAGCTGTAAAATGTTTAACACAGTTGAGTTTTCATTCATGGATAATAAATAAGTAAACAGCACTGCTGATTTTTCATTCATGGATAATAGTAAAATGTAATTGTGTGTTCTTTTTGCATTGTTGTACTGCTGATGCATTGTTTAAAAAATATAATTTAATTATATCTGATCTTATCTGGATCCAAAGATAGCTGCATTATTTTACAGAAAACAAATTCTTAAACATCCAAACAAATTGGATGTAAGTTCAAGTGCTGAAGAACGGAGCAGGCAACTAATCAACTTTTACAAGCAAATAAATGTGGAGTGGGCATGTCCTGTTAAATGCCAGCTTCAATGTACAGCCTAGAGATAAAAAGATAAACCTGTATGCAATAAAATATGCAGTTCATATAGTTTATTCAGGTTCATAGCTTTAATTACTGTATCTTAATTAGTTTTAGGACATGCTGCAGTTGGTGAAGGAGTTTCCAAGCAATTTTCCCACAGTTCTTGAAAAACAAATATGGTTTTGGTTTAAAGGAAACTAAGGTATGACATTTTAATCATCAACCATCAACTTGATATGTATGTTTGTCAACTTGTTCAACTTTTTTTTAATATTTAGACCTATTTGGAAGTTATTGCTGTTTCATTTTTTTTAGGTCAGTGGACAGTCTCCATTGAACGAGGATGGGTACACTTAAGTCCTGGAACTTTGTTTGTCTTGGGATCTTCGTGGTCCAACAGATGAAAGCAGTGTCAGGTCCTTTGTCTGACCACCTGGGTTTTTTTGTCCGTTCCATATTGTTTACATGTCATTTAGCACATGGTGTGTTTTGATCACACTCTCTGCATGCTTATTGTAACATGTCTCCACCCACCTTTCCAATTCCTTCCTTTTATTCAATTAAGCAGAGATTTCACTCACCTGTTCTCCTTGCTTTGCTGTAATTTCCCCACTATTTAGTTTACTTTCCTTTGTTGTCCTTTGTCAGATTGTTGTCGCATGTATGTCTGTTGTCAACCTTATTTCAGTTTCGCTAAACCAGTCCATGCGGTCCCTGTTGTGTTGTTTCATGCCTGGCTCCCGGTCAGTTATTCCTTTGTTTTTACTGCCTTTTTCTCTCTTTGCCTTCTCTCTTTTTTATCTTAACATTATGGAGTGGTTTGTGTTGATGTTTATTTGAGACTCTAATTCTTCTGGTTGATCTTTGTTTTATTGTATTTATTTATTTTTCTTGAGCCCCTCTAAGGAACCCTTAAGCTAATTTTTGTCTTCTTCTGAACAGTTTTTTGTTAAGATTTCTTATATTTTATTTCTCACTGTGCTTGAAGCCTTTTGGAGATTTATGTTGATTTTTGTGATCTAATAAATTTTTTGAGACCTGCATTTGTGTCTATTCTAAATTCTGACAGAAAGATCTGACCAAGATGGACACAGCAGGTCTAGATCCTGTCAGATCAGCGGTTGTCCAACATGGGGTGCTTCTGGGCCAATATGAGACACGACTCCCTAACACCAGCAGAGAGGTGGAAATTCTTCCCAATCAGGTGGCTTAACTTACTACTCGCTTACAAGAACTAAAGCACGAGTACACTTTGCGAGGTTTTCGCCATGAGCCTGAACCACGTTGCAATAATCCAGCACCGTATGATGGGGACCCTAACTCATGTCAGCCTTTTTTGGCACAATGTGAGATATTTGCCCTCCAACCACGCATGTATTACGCAGAAGAGACTTAGATGGCCTATGTGTTAACCCTTCTTACTGGCAAGGCCCGTGAATGGGGAACTAGAGCCCCTTGTTGTGCCTCTTTTAATGACCTCCGGCTGGAGATGGAAAACGAATACAAAGGAATACAAGTGACCCTTAGGCTGAGAATTGCCTGGGAGAAGCACAGTCTTAGGGTCAATGTGGAGGCAAGGAGGTGGCCTGGGACTTTCTGAACACAAGACATAGATCATGGTACTCTGCTGGGTAGCACGGAACCACGTTCACTCATTGAGTATGCTTTTTGATCGGTCTGCTAAAGGACAGGTGGCTGTGGATCAGCTCGCCTGCCTTAATCAGGGTGGCCGATTGGTCACTGAGTATGCCATCTTATTTTAAACCTTGGCAGCATCCTGTGACTGGAATGAGGGGTCATGTCAATCTATGTTCCGTGCTGGTCGGAAAGAGGACATCCAGGATGAGCTCGCCACTCATGAACTACCACACAACTTTGATGACCTAATAAATCTGGCACTACGCATCGAGGTTTGCCTTAATCGCACAACAGCGACTAGCCCGGGGTTTATGCCTTAATCGTGGTAAACCTCAACACTTTGCTTCAGTCTGCACAGCAAAAGCCAGGTGAAGGCAGTGTATCTGACTGGGGTCCCAGCAGAGTACCATGATCTACGTCTTGTGTTCAGAAAGTCCCAGGCCACCTCCTTGCCTCCACATTGACCCTAAGACTGTGCTTCTCCCAGGCAATTCTTAGCAAAAATATGCTGACACCCTCATCCTTGTAAACCCTCTGGGTTTTCGAGTTTGTGTGAAGAAGGATTTTACAATATTAAAATTGAACCAGACAGGTCAATAGAGATTATTAATGAAGAAATAGTACAAGCAATACAAACTGCAGTGAATATGTATATAGCAAAGAGTGTAAGAGGAAGAAAGAATAAAATTGTCCAGTGTTGGAATGATTACTGTACAAATGCAATTAGAAAAAAAAGAAAGCATTTAGGAGAGTCAGGATAACTCACAATCATTTGGATTTAATAGAAACAAAACACAAGCAGAGGTAATGAGGACTGTAAGGAAAGCCAAGGTTATGTACTGTGTTGGAATATCAAGCCAATGCCATGCATGTTTAATAAGAAAGGTCTGGAGAGGGTTTTCATCAATGCCAAAAATATTAGTAATTTATTAGAAACAAATGAATAATTTGATGACAGGGCTCTGGGTTTATTTGCCCCAATGCAATACAACAATTACATTCAAGAGGTTCGCAACCAACATACATTTCCTGACTCCAGCATATATGCAACTGATATTAACAGGTGGAGTTTTGGTTTTACGTCACTTATCAGTCATTCTGCAGTCCTTTGGCTCTTGTGACATATATCGATCCACATGTTTATTCTAAAGAACCATTGTGAAAGTCACATTTCTTGTTTGTGTGACTTGTCTTCTTCGCCTGCAAGAAGGCCCACTTCTATTTCTAGTTTTCTATTTCTAGGGGTGTCCAAACTCGGGTGTCTTCAACTTGAAGACCTTTAAAATCAATCTTCCATCCAGTTTTTGATCTTCAGTTAACCTCGGTTTAATGAGCTTATTACCACATCCCATAAGTATTTCCAAACTACACAAAATGAAAACCATTGGTACTAATACATCATCAAATAATGAATCAGTAATGTGAAATATACAGTTTTACAATTACAATACTTATAACTTAAAGAAAAATAAAAACATTTACCTTACATCGAGTGGCACTTTTACTTTAAAGTCTTCTTTGATTTTTCTTAAAGGCTACTGTCCCATGCTTTGTCAAATTCAAGTGCATTTAATATGTGCCCAATCTTTATACAATTGTTTTTTCCTGTTTTACAACAGCTTTATCATCAGGGGAGGTCAACAATATTACATCTTTGTTAAAAGTTTGATGGTATTGTGCCCTAGACCCGTAAAAACAAGCTTCAACAGCATTTGTCAGAAAATACTTGACATCTTTAAATCTTTTGACTTTAAAACAGCGGTTTAAAATTAAAAATTTATACCATTGGTTCTTAGTATACACTATGACTTTTCACTGTACCATTAAGACGACATCACCTTCTCAAAATGTTTTATCAAGTAGCTAGGTTCAGCAAAACGTGCATTTAATGTTTTGTTTCATCCATTCAGAGAGTTCCTATGTGTGTTGTAGGTGGGGCTACAATCAGTGTGACACCGGGAGAACGGTAAAGCTTCCATCAGTTGCGTGGTGTACGCCGGTGGAGAAGCAAGGTTATTTTTGCTCTCGTTTATCGTGCATTTACAGTCTCTTTGCGATCATAATCATTATATTTTTGATGTAAAATTGCTGCTAAGTGGTTCTGTCATCATGTGTATCCATGTGATCAGTGTTTTTTTTTAACTGTTACTCTAAAATGCAACGTTTATTGTGTTTTATTGTTTCATTCGCACCTGTATTTTTCATGCAGGGATGAGAGTAACGGTGTTAGTGTGAACTTACTGTACAGTACTTCACTCTGTTTAAGGTATGTTATTTAGGTTATTAACTTGTTATTTTCTGAATCCAAATATGTGATTTAGTTTAAATTAGAATAATTATATCATTTAATTGTATTGTGGCAGATTTTCACATTATAATACTGTTAACGCAAATGGAAGGAGTTTTATTGTATGAGTGATTCAATATCTGAATATTAATGCAGTTTACAGTCACGATACAAGTCAAATGTAACCATTTGCTGCAAGTTTACATGTTTTATTTACATTATGTAATTATTGTGCTTTTTATTTGTATTTAAATGTTTAATATAAGAAAATAGAGATTTTTCTCTGTGCACGTGGAGAAGCAGAGCGATAAGAGAGTAGTTTTCCGGTGGTAGTGTGTTTTCACTGTACCTCTTTGTTTCCTTCACCTCATGTGGGATCGAGTTTCTGTGGTGTCTGAGAGGGATATCCATTTGAGATTTGCTACACAAAAAAGACTTAAACACTACATCTATAAAATAAAATATTAAACAGGGCTTGACCCTTACTGACCCTTTTTTCAGGAGTGGCACATGCGCTCTCAAGTTGAAAAATTTTGGAGCACATTAGAGAATTTTACGAGCACAGTGAAAATATATAAAATAAATAGTGATTTTTCCTAATAACTGTACACGAGGATATCTTTACAAGCAAAGCGGTTTCACTCATTTAAATGCAATAAGTACAGTAGGTTTTATTTTACTGCAACAACAGCTGAAATAGTATTTAATAACTATTCATTATTTAAGCTGTATGGAGTTTAGCTAGCGGTCTACAGCAGGACTGGGATCAAATTGCTCTAATGAAGGCCTCTCTAAACTGGTCTGTATCAAGTCTTCAGTTGTGTACATGCCTAGACAGCTTGTTCAATTTTTGATCCAGTTTCAAGCTGTAAAATCTTTCACGCTGGACAACAGAAATGGGGAGTTATTTAGTTAATAAAAATGTGCAGTATGGTTACTGCAAACAAAGACATGACTAGAGCTATTTAATCTGTATTTGTATCATAAGTGCCTGGTAAAAGTAATCCACTAAATTTAAATAACATTAATAAAATAAACAGGTGCTATATATATTACACATGTATACAGACACACATTTATATACTTAGACTAGTCTGAGAAAAACGAATGAAACAAATGAAGCTGGCCGTAGTCAGACCATGCACATCCAGACTCTGAAGAGCCGGCGGCAGGTGTGCCTCGTGGCACTGGTCCCGCCCGTGCTGAGGCAGAGCGGCGATTAAAGTCGTGGGGATCGCAGCTCGATCTGGCAGAGGGGATGGAGACAAGCTCGAGGGCTTCTTCTCCTTCTACTGTGAGATCGAGGTCCAGTCAGCGCGAGCTGGAAGCCTGTTCATCGGCTTCTTCCTCTCGCGCTGATGGGCGGCTGCTCCGCCTCCCGGCTTCTGAGGGAGTCGAGAGTATGGAGGGCCTTCGGGGCCAAAATGACGTTCCCCCATTATGCCCCGAATATGATGAGCTGGCAGAGGTCCTGGCCAATGTAACAGCTAAATATAATATTAACTGGGAAGTAGAGAGGCAGGAAGTGCGCAAAAAAGCTGGTTTGTGTGATGAACGCATCCTGCCATCACGAGACATGCCTCTGAGGGGGGGTCTTCCATTTAACAAAGATCTCCAAAAAGAGATCGATTCGGGCAGCCGCAAAGAGGATCAGACTGGGCCAAGCCATCACAGTCAAACAGTTCCAGAAGCTGTTGGGTCTACTAGCGGCAGCCTCCAACATAATCCCATTGGGTCTGCTACACATGAGACCATTACAGTGGTGGCTCAAAACCAGGGGGTTTTCCCCAAGGGGAAATCCGTTCCGCACAATCAAAGCATCGAGGCATTGCCTACGAGCGTAATCGATATGGAAAAAGCCCTGGTTTCTGTCCCAGGGCCCTACACTAGGAGTAATATCTCAGCGCCTGGCTCTGACATCAGATGCCTCACGCAAGGGCTGGGGAGGGACCCTGAGGGGCCTTCCCGCATCGGGACAGTGGAGGGACCATCATCTCCACATGCATATCAACTGCTTGGAGATGTTAGCAGTGTTTCAGGCTCTAAGGCACTTCTTCCCTCAAGTGAGAGGTCACCATGTGTTAGTGAAGACCGACAACACATCGGTGGTCTTTTACATCAACCATCAAGGGGGTTTGAATTCGCGCCCTCTGTGCAGGTTGGCGAATCAAATCCATCTGTGGGTTCAGGGGAGGCTGCTCTCTCTGAAGGCAGCTTACATCCCAGGTCCGATGAATGTGGGAGCGGACCTCCTGTCGAGACAGGGGTTGGAGCCTGGGGGATGGCAACTACACCCAAAAGTGGTGGCGGCCATTTGGCAGAGATTCGGCAGAGCCGACGTCGATCTATTTGCCTGTCAGAAAACAACACATTGCCCATTGTGGTTCTCCCAAACACATCCAGCACTTTTGGGGCTGGATGCCATGGTGCAGACGTGGCCGAGGCTTCGTCTGTACGCTTTTCCCCCAATCGCTCTGCTCCCGGGAGTCCTGGAGAGGGTCCGTCAAGGGGGGGTACAACCTATTGCTGGTAGCCCCTTATTGGCCCACACGAGTATGGTTCTCGGACCTAGTGTCTCTCCTCGACGGTCTCCCATGGGAGATTCCCGTCCAGAGAGACCTCCTGTCTCAGGCGGAGGGAATGATAGTACACCCCCGCCCGGACCTCTGGAAACTGTGGGTGTGGCCTCTGAGGGGGCCCACCTTGTAGATCTTGGTTTGTCAACTGAGGTTGTTCAAACCATACTAAGCTCCAGAGCTCCCTCCACGAGGAGATTGTATGCCACCAAGTGGAAACTTTTTACTTCGTGGTGTACAGACCACCACCTGGATCCAGTCCACTGCCCTGCGGGGTCAGTGCTGCAATTTCTCCAGGAGCGTTTTGAATTCGGTTTGACTCCGTCAACGCTTGAAGGTTATGTAGCGGCAATGTCCGCATACCGTACTGATGGTCTTGGCAAAGACCCTCTGGTGGTCAGATTCCTCCGTGGAACGAGGAGGTTGAGGCCTGCCTGCGCCAATAGGTTTCCTACTTGGGATTTGTCGATAGTGCTTGAGGGCCTGTCGACAGCCCCGTTTGAACCAATTGAGGATGTGTCAGAAAAGTTTCTGACCCTTAAAACGTTTTTTTTTGTTGGCCATTACATCCATCAAAAGAGTAGGAGATTTACAAGCATTGTCTGTAGCTCCCTCTTGTCTGGAATTCTCACCTGGTATGGTGAGAGCATTTCTGTACCCCAGAGCAGGGTACGTTCCTAAGGTCCCCACTGAGGTTGTGCGACCTACTGTGCTGCAGGCCTTTAAACCTCCACCATTTATGACGCCAGATCAGGAGCGTTTAAATCTGCTTTGCCCAGTGCGGGTCCTAGATGCATACGTACATCGTACGTCTGCTTGGCGTACAACACAACAGTTGTTTGTTTTGTATGGCTCACCCAAAATTGGGGCGCCAGCATCTAAGCAGTCTCTGAGCCGGTGGATAGTCGAGGCTATTTCATTAGCATATGAAGTCCTGCATCGGCCTCTACCTGAGGCGATCAGGGCTCACTCAACCAGGAGTATGGCGGCTTCGAAAGCCTTTCGTGCTGTCAGAATGGTTGGTCAGTGCCTAGAAGAATGTGCCTGTGAAATTTGTACGCAAGCCAGAAGAAGTAAGGGAAATAAATTGACTGAAGGCAACCGAGTTCAGAAAATTCTTACTCTACATGTTATGGTAAAAAAAACCTGCTCGCCACTGAGGCATAAAAAAACTGCTGCTGCTTTTTGTGGGAATCCTAATCGTTTGTAATGACTAATGCCTAATTGGTGATTACTATGACTATGTCAATTATATTCTCCGACTTTTTGTCACACACATTAAACAGCTATACAGTCCCAGATTCCTGTTATATAACATCCCCTGTCTTGTACATCTTGCAGAAGATGCAAAACACCATGGTGTACTTGACAACTTCAGTGCATTCATATATGAGGACCACCTTAACAAGCTGAATAGATTTCTACGGAAACCTTCATGTGTGCTAAGCCAAGTTGTGAGAAGGTTCTCAGAACCTCAAAGCTGCAACAAAGAGGGACAAAACAAAAACAACCCATCAAGGCTCAGAAAACCACATGCTTGCTGGTCCTCTACCCGAGTCATTTGTTGAGTTTCATATTTCAAAGAACTACAGTTTGCAAAGCCACAAAACATAATTTCAGAAAAATTTGACATTTACGTGGCCTACACTACTTTCAGCAAACATTAACTTTTTTGGACTATCCCCTTCTATCTTCAGCACACGGTATCTACCTTGTTGATGTAATTTCAGGACCAACACAGCTTTGCAAGATCGAGAACATTGAGGTAAAAGCTTTCTTTATCCCTTGCGGCAGCTATTTTGTTTCAGTTCCACTTTAACAGACACAATAATTCCCTATTCCAATTTTTTGGAATTTTTTTTTTTCCATCACTGGCATTTAATAACTTTTCAGTTTGAATTACATTTATGGCTCATTTTATCTGTAAAGCACCTGAATTTAAAGCTTTTTTTTTCCACTTCCAGGCTTGACAATTATATAACAATTATGAATGATACAAATGCAAAAATAGTAATGGTTATTAAGATTGAAGTTGCTTGGAATTTGTAAAATATGCCCTAAAATATGATCTGAATATCAACTTGCTCAATAATTTTGCACACAATGTAGTTTTGTGTATTTGCACATAAACAACTGAAATTTAATACATGTCATTCAACATTATAGGGCTCTTTCAGTTTAAAAAAACAAATGTACCTCATAGTGGAGTTCATTCAACAAGGGAGTACCGGTCCTATATCATAGTCTTGGTACTCAGAGAGTCACTCATGGTGGCCTCCATACAAAGAGATGGACATGCTATTGAAGAGTGACTGGTTAATGGAGGCACCACTACCAGATAAAGGTTGGACCAAGGATCAGGCCAGAATTCTACACGAGTCGTTTAAGCAGGATGAAGTACATTGTAAATAAACATTATTAAACAAAGAATAAAATCAATTATATATGTTTCAAAGACTAATGCTTTTGTAAATTTGGTTACATAATTGTTTCTTTCAGCATCTTTTGACGAGACTTCCCAAAAATGGAAACAGGCTTGCTGAAATGTCTGCAAAAGGAATTCCCAAGTAAGTTGTCAAAATATTTTACTGTGAAAATTGATACATTTACAAGCTAAAAAATAAAAACAGCTATATTCTGTATTTTTAAGTAACAAAGATAAATATATTTAATTTTAATCTTCAATTTTAATTCAGCCTTAGTTTTCACATCCCAATCACACTTAGAAATTGGGTATGTTTAGTTTCAAATGGTCATAAAAAAATTGGCTAAAACAGAGCCATATTACCACCAAAGCATTCTAAAGGCTGAGAAGCGGTTTCATTGTTTATGTTAAGCATAATAGTTTTTGACATTTTAACCGTTTAATTTTTATGTTTTTATATTTGTGGGCTGCACTGCATTGCAAAACTATATACTATTTTTCTCCCAAAATGTATTTTTTGTTTTTTAACAGGTGCAGCTATGAGGAAGCCTGTGCTTCCGTCTACAACAGATGCAGAAGCAGAAAAACATTTTAAAGACTATCTCCGCTTGGCCCCAGGAAGAATGGCCGCTTAAGCTTACTTTTAATTTACTTTTTAAATTGGTTTTGTTTGCTTCTGAAAAAATATAAACTATAATAAATGATAATAAAATAAAATTTTACAAATGATTCTTCAGCAGTTGTGTTATTTCATTTTGAGTGGAAAATACCTGAGCTTAGTTATCATATATGTGTAGTCAGATGTATAATCAGTGTAACTAACTTATTTACAGCAGTATGGATGAGGGAATGTCTAAATAAAAAATAAAAAAACGGCGACTATTCTACATAAATGTCTCACAGATCTAATATTCTTATAAAAAAAATCTGCAATGCATTGCGTAGACGTTGTTTGAAAGTCTGACAAGGACAACTAAACAACGTTTTCCAGATGAGCAAGCACCCTACATAAGACATCTCCCAGATGAAAACTCAAATGTCCAGCAGACATCTCTGTGATACACACGTGCTATTTGGGTTCAGCTTAGTCCCTAATTGTTGGTTTGCAGTTTCATACTAATTCATACAGATCTATATGCTGAAAGTAAGACGATCCCTGCAATCTTTGTTCAGTTTATTGCAGTACAGTGTACACTTGATTTACTTTTGCTTCCCCAGCCTGAACTTCGTTATGGCACGTATCCCTCTTACGTCATATGTCTCTTTGAAATTGTCTCTTATTGCTCACAGAAGCGATGCGCTAAAAATGCCGCATACGTGACATCACACACAACAAACGCACATGACTGATTAGCCTAGCCTCAGTTGGTGTGAAATGAATTCTGTGACTATACAAACTAAAAACTAATGCCGCTTTCGAAATCGCATACTTCGATAGTATATAGAATGCTAGAATCAGTATGTGAGCCGAGTAGTATGTCCGAATTCATAGAATTTGAAAGTCGGCATGCGAGAAGTACCCGGATGACTTACTACTTATCTACTTACGAGATTCTGGAGTGCGCATCCCATGCATGCTGCGCTATCCCATGATGCCCCGCAAGATAATTCATTAATGGGAGTGAAGCAACGCAACTCATGCAGCCAGGTAGGTCACATGACCATGACAAAATGGCGAATGTAGTACGTTCGAACTCCATTCATACTTTTCACATTCATACTGTATAGAATGTACTTTACTAATGTCCGAGTAGTATGTTTAAATTCAAATACAATACCTACTGAATAGTAGGCGGTTTTTAGACAAAGCCTAATAATTCTAAACGTACTATTCTTATTGAGAAAGTCAGATAGATGGAAGAAAAATTTGCAATTTGCATTAGTTCTGTTTACATCCCGCGTGGGATTGAATCGAATTGATTTTATCGTACGTGTTCAAAAGCTTATCATTAACATGCAATCAGTGTACAACAGCTAGTGTATAAAATGCAAGTGGTCTAGCGGTATAATGAAATAGTAATCAATCATATTGTTTTCTTTATGTTATTATACAAAATGGCAGTCAGTTTCAGGTGGGATCCGACTCTTACAATTCATTATTATTCAGTCGATTATTATACCAAATGGTCTGAGGTCTATCCAATACCCAACAAATCAGCTGCTGTTGTTTCTTAATTATTAATTTATTTTATAGGTTTGGGGCACTAAAGAAGATCCTAGCTGACCAAGGTACAGAATTTGTTTGCTACTTTGTTAATGAATTACATTCAGAAAATAGGTGTAAATGTTTTGTGCAAATCAGAATTATATAAACCTTGCATATGTTTTGCAAATAGATCAACAAAGATCTCTGTGCCTTCCTCGGTGTGGAACAAAGCCTTTGTGCCCCATACCATCCAAAAACGAAAGGCCTTGTGGAAAAACTAAATGGAACCATGCAGGTGAGTTGGCATTGTGGGATTGCAATATTAAATATAATGTCGGATGTTCTTACAATTGTTTTCTAAAATCAACTTCTTTGTGAAGCAGAATGTAAAAAAATGTAATCATAAATGTTACATTTTCAGCTAATTTTGTTATAAGCTATATTGTTTATCTTCGCTGAACTCTTCAATCTGGCAGATTTTGCATATGTCAGTTGATAAACTGGGATACATTATTCGGCAGCCCATTGATTTTAAACTACTTTAATTATTCTGACATACACAGAGCTGCTGTTACTTCGAAAGAGAGCATCATATTTACCTATTTATTTTCTCCACTGTTAGAAAATATAGCTGTGGTTAAAAGTTTTGGAAGTGTGGGGTATCCTAAGTTAAAGAGAGAAACACTCCAAAAATTGCTCAGCATGCGCTTACCACTGGCCTCTTTGTCTCTTTATTTCAAGATCCACATCATAGAGGTGAATGAAAGAGGAAAGTCTGTCTGTTAGGCACAGCTATTCAGATATTCAAGATTATGATCTTTATGAGAAGAGTAGATCTATAAAGGGAAGAATTCCTTAAGCTGGATTTAGGCTTGTAAAAGGATCTTTGCAAGCAATGGGACACAGAGCTACTTGGAGAACAATGCAGATGTACGCAACGTGTAGACGGTGCTGGGGTACTTTAAAGTATGGTCTAGTTGTCTTGCATTTGTTACAGCCGGCTCTTAAGCTCCAAGAAAAATGAGGACCAGACACAACCATCACAGGCAAAATAACATTTATTTTAACTTCTTTTGGCCCAAGGTGTTTTTTACATGCATTTTTTATTTCTTTTTGCTATTCGGGGTAATTGGAACCTAACTATAATAAAAGCTAAGTATTATCTTTTGATATGTACTTTTAAAGCAAAATGATGTCCATATATGTGGACTCGTGGTCTGAATTTAGATAAAGCACTTTATCTAAGCACTATATATATATATATATATATATATATATATATATATATATATATATATATATATATATATATATATATATAATTATTTATTTATTTATTTTTTACTTGCTTTGACTATCAGAGAGTAAAAACAATTTTTTTCCCCACATTTTGGACGGTTAAAAAGCACACCAAACACTGTTTATATTCACATCCCAACAAGCGCCACCTGTGTACCAATCATGTCACCTCCAGCCTTTAACTGAAGAACACTAGACTGGAACACCACACACACATGCATTCACATCACATGGGCTGAAACATCACACACCCCTTAAAAAAAAACATAACTTTAATAAAACAATTAAAACGAGCACCCATGAATTTTTATAAAGCATTTAGGATAAACCTCACTAATTACACCTTTTCTTTCTCTCCAGCAATCTGGATCCTGAAAGCAAATTAAGGTGATAAAGAAAGTGAGAAAAGCAGAGAGTCAAAGAAAAAAAAAAGTCAAAATTAAAGACTTAATCATACAGTGAAATCAGACAGTGAAATACGAGTCAACGCATCGACAATCACATTGTCACCTCTAACATTTCTAATGTTCAAATTATAAGGTTACAAATATAGAACACACCTTAACAAACGTTAATTTGGACTCTGCAGTGAATGCAAAAAAAGTCAGAAGATTATGATCAGAAAAAACCCCACCTCTGCACCTCCCACATTAACATCAATATTTTTTAGCCTCGCCAGTTTGCTGATTTTCTACTCTTGAGACAATTTTTTTATTTGCTTCTAACTGATGAACATGTTTAAGTTTAAATGATGAACGTGTTTTTGTTAAGTACTTAACAAAAATAAACTGTTTAAAAATTTACACAATTAAAGTCGCTTTTTTGAATGTATTTGCTTAAGACTGGACTCCTCACCTCTGGATGCATTGTGTCTGGAGTTAAAGACAGGGTTCTCTTCCCTAGCCCTACTTGCATTAACTCTAGCTCTTCAAATATGGATTGGGTTATTTTGGATTTGGATCCCAGGAAAGAAACAGAGAGATCAAATCTTTTCTGTGCCTTTGCTGGTACTGCAGGCCTGTGACTTCTGGCAAGTTGTCTTTTATGTTTGCCAGTGTTATTTAACCATGCACAGATCTGCAAATGACAGAACAGGTAAAACTACAAATACTTTTTTTAAGAAGCAAACAATAAAGTTGTCCTGTACTGAATATATGAATTTCAAATGTAGGTTCAAGTCTGTTTGCCATTGACATGACTAAACAGCTAGACAAATATGTAATCTACTTCTAAGATAAACATATTTGAAAATTCTGTGTAACACCTGAACTGGCCCTTTAAAATATGCTTGCTGTTCTACAGTACCTAGCCATTTCATGTTCCACTGTAGGTCTTTCTGACTGCTAGGGTTGGATCTGAGTCTGCTGTCTGGAGTTTTCGTCTATTGCTCTTGCCACCAAGGACAAAAAGTGTTGTGCAACTTTGGTAATAGCATGTTGATCATACCAGGGGAAAAAAGGTTTTGATGCAAAGCACTACTATCACAATACTGATCAAATCACAAATTTAATATCTGATTACTTTATAGAAATTAGATAAAAATTACCTGTTGCTGCAATCTGCCTGGTTGGTTTTTCATTCTGTGATTAACAAATTGAGATTTTGATAATTTTTAATACCTCAAGTAGACACCACAGGGGCGAACCGGTTATAGGGTCGCCTGATAAGTCAATCTGGCCTGCCACCATGAATCTGGCTAGGAAGCCCTTGTCTGAAGCCTGCTGGGGCAGCATCTGTGATTTCATTGTTTAGAAACATAATAGCGTCGACGCCATTACGTTGTGTCAGTAAACTACAACTTCTGTATGCACATTCACACATGTACAGCAGGAAGACTAATATATAATATACAGATACAGCAGTTTTTGATTATTGTCTTTAATAAACATATAAACATTTATATATTTTCATAGTGGAATTACTATGAATTACTATCACTAGTCCCCCCCAGGACTTCCTTCCTGCCATCTCCAACATCAACAGGTGGGCAGTCTTTAAAAATGACACCACATTCAAGGCATTCTGTCAAAGCATATGGCATTCTGTACTTTTTTTTTGTATTCCTTGAAAAATATACACTAGTTGATGATACCTAAATAAAATCAAGTACGTTTTAAGCAAGACACAAATGTAATTCAAAGTTGGAGTACTGTAAAAAGTGCTAATCTGTATTCTTCATCATGTGTATACATACAATGAATATAATGTAAAATACTGTATGCCAAGCACTTTCCCAAGTAGTCACTATAAAGATTTGTTCATATACTGTAAATAACGTAATGTCCAG